CAACGTTGCTGAGATATTTGCAAAACTCTGGACCGCAGGTGTCTATGGTGGGGAACGAACGCGCTATTATCCTTTCCCCACCATAGACACCTGCGGTCCAGAGTTTTGCAAATATCTCAGCAACGTTGTGGTTGTATTTCGCTTAGTAACTGGTGTCAGAATTGCGACGAAAGAGCTCCCTATAATTGCCAAGGACTGGCAACTTCCCGTGGTGAAGGCATTGCAACGGCCAACAACGGCCTGGCGCAAATCACGATTTCCGAGAAAATCAACTGGACCATCATACACCGACATTCATGAAGAAGGCAAGGCCCTCATGTGGTAGCCAAGCCAACACATCACTTAGAAACCTTCGTGGGTGGATGCGGGAAAATAAATTGAAAAGACGACGTAAATATCTAAAATGAGTTGGTATAAACATAAATCGTAGTATAAACCAATCGTAGCAGTCGACGTCAGCTGAAGAATTTAGACCTGCATTAGGAAGAAACTAGAGTTCTATTGAGCATGCAATTCAAGATACACAAGTCTTTATTTGTATTAAGTCGTAAATACACTGCCAAGCAATTAATTTTACAGTTTCGAGTAGAGTAACCAGGAGAACAGGTGTCACGCAGGTGAAATTATCCAGATATGAAATCTCTATGGTTTCCTTAGAATGGGACACGTACTACAATGACGAGATGCTCATGCACACCACACTCCAATAGAGGCTCGAATCCACTTACCGTAAGACCACATCGCGAGTGAATAAGTGGAAATAATCAGTCGAAAGTGAAATTCGCTGTCATCATATTGTTGTCGATTCGCGCAGCAACTCGTCAAGCAGCCACGACATTCATACTCATTCCCTTCACAAATCCGCCAATGAGGGCTGCAGTACATCTACGTAACAGGTGAGCAAATAACATAAGCGGTTCCATCTCCTCTTTATTCACAGGAAAGAAGGTGCGCTTACAAACAGATCAGTTTATCGTTGTCAAAGCAAGAACATTTCTTAAGAACTCTGTGTTGCGTGTCGTTGGTCGTCAGTTTACTGTATAGTGCAACAAGCACTTTTCTTCTTCTTCGTTGACGCGCCTACAATACCTGAGCCTTACATAATTGGCCTGAGAAATGCTATCAAAAAGCAAACGTTCTATCTTACTCGCGTTCGCTGTGTTCGCCTTCTGAGCAATCTTTGACAGAGGCATGACTGCCTGAGCTTCCTAGAAAAAATCGACCAGTCGACTGATTGTTGTGTTCCTATCCTTTTCATTTTCAAAGCCATATATAAAATACATCAACAAAAGTCGATAACGATTACAATGATTGCAGAAGTAGTCCATGTTTCAGCACAATTCAATCAAATACATTTTTCTTCAAGACCAATGGATTGAAAAGTTTGTTTTTATTCTCTCTATTGGGAAATCACACTAGACTTCGTAATGAAAAAATTTAATCGCTTTCTCGCTAAGAAAATCTACTACCTAGTATTGATTTTAAATTGTCCTCATGCTGCTACTATTAAACTTACTTTTGGTGGAAATTTTCTGCCCGAAAACTGTTCTTACTAAATGAAGTGCAGAATAAAGCGTTCGGCCTTCTTCACTTCCTGAGCTAAGCGCCATATATTCAACTTTATTAGGCATCTTAAAAAAGGCCGTTCGACCCGAATGGATGTAGCACTCAGTTAGCTTGGGATGCAGGACCGAACCAGCGATTGATCCAGCGTGTATTGCACGGCACCCCTAGCCACTGCGTCGCGAATACTCCAGCTCCAACCTTAGTTAAACTCCAACTCATGTGCGTGTACACATGAAAGCGGTAATCCTTTGCGCTTGGGTTACCCAGAAGAATGTCGACACCGACCCCACAGTTGATCACGCCCTCCACCTCACAGACTGATTACGTTGATACCAGACATCTCTAGGAAGATAAACACACTGAATGTCCCTAGCGTAGTAGATTGCATCTCTAAAGAATTAGCCAACGCCTAGCATTTCATCCTTAACATCCTCTATCGGAACTATCTTATTTAAGTTAGAATACAGAACACTATAGCACACGCCGCACTTTGTGAGGGTTTCCACCGCTCTTCTCTGAGTTTCTTAGAACTTTTGCCAATTTCGTAAAATTTACATAAAATTGTCTGTTTTTTGACGACGATGAAAAAGTGCAGCTCACATAGTAACGGTACAAATAAACGTAGTGAAAATTTTGAAATGTACAAACTTTAAGGGCAGAATGAAGGATAGGGCTCTCGGCATTGATCAGTCCCTGAGGGATGTGCTATGCATCCGATTTCATTGAGCACCGCTGGAGGTGATTGAATGCATATCTGGCCTTTACAGTGCTTCGCAGTGGCCTACCGATGTGTCGAGCCAGTGCTGCTATCCTCGTAGACAAGTCTGGTACCAATTTGCTGACTTCGGAGGGATGGAAGGTTTAGTGAGCCACGGGCGCAGGGATCGATCCCGGGTGTGTGTCGCAAGGCGCTTCCGACCACTAGGTCACAGGTGTCCAATACAAACTTTGGATGTAAATATTTTAAGACGTTACAAAGCCATACGCGCATCTACCAATTTACAGCTTACATTGAAAATTTGAAGAGTACAGACGGGTCCACTTGAGCAAATTTCGTTTTAAAAAAGGGAGAAAGTTTTCTTACAAAATAGGCTGCTTCCGACTGGATAAAACTTACCTTTCTTTCAGTTGGTGCTTTATGCATCGATTCACCAGATTTTTCTGCTTTTGGTCCTCTTTCAGCCGATTTCGCTCCGTCACCATCTTTCTTCTCACCCTTTTCGACTTCTTTTTCTTTTTCGCCATCCTTACCTTCGCCGCTCAATTTCTTAGTCTTTGAAGGTGAAGCACCCTTATCTTTATCCTCCTTTCTATTATCCCCATCTTTCTTATCATCTGATGACTTTGCTTTCTAAAAAACTCGTTATCATACGTACGTTAAGTTTGTGAATTTTCTGAAGACCTACTTTGTCACCTTTTTTCTTCTCTTTTCCTTCCCTGGAACAAAAAAAGTTGTTTTACAACAGATTCTGGGCGTGAAATAGAGCTTTTTTACGTTAACACAATAAGGCAATTCCACAAATCACAGCCCGGCCGCTCTCCTCATGCATTTCGTTCGACTACACAAATTCTACTCTTTCTCGAAGGAAGAGATACATAAGACGAAAAATTAAACGTGGTAGTAAGAGCCACTTTACAGTTATGAAGAAGGCCGGCTGTCCATACAAGGTTATCCTTACTTACTTGGATACTTGGATGGCCCGTCCTCACTGGTTGTGCGAGCCCCAGCATAATCCCCATTTTTTCGGAGATTTGCTGGTTAAGCCATTGTGGTGCCCTAGAATCCCGAGGTCAGCCTGGCCAAAGTTTGCCACAGGTCGTCACCACCACAGGCAGTCGCCGGCCTTGTGGATCAGAGGGAGATTTGCCACCATAAGACTAGTCTGCTATCAGGACGGTGGCAGATCTTGGTATTTGTTTATCTTAGCTGGGCTTCCTGATGGAAGCGCTGGACACTTTCTCAGCTTAGGGGACTCTTCCAGGGAGATGAATCATCCCGTTGTGTATCGCAGCCCGACACCCAGGAGCACCTTCCAGCCTCGACAAGGCGGTAAGCTGTTGGGAGAAGTGATTCTTGTTTTTCGAAGAACCTTCGTCCATATTGACACATAGTTTTAAGCTAAGCTAATTTTTTATCTTAACAAGTTTATGCGGAAATGCATTCGTTCGGGTTTGTCGCCAATAGAAGCTAACCAAACAGAAGAAGTTCAACATTTCTGTTGCAAGATCTGCTATACGCAAAATGAAGTAAGGAAACATTTCAAATTTCAAAGAACGCTGTTGAAACTTGGGAAAACTTGATCCAATCTATCGACCCCTTGGAAGACCTGGAAACGCCCTGGGATAGATTTTTGGTTAGTTCAAGGAAAAATTTTACAAAGCAACACGCCGGTAATCTGCTGTTGTGTGCACGACTGCTCGTTAAGATGAGCTGTAGAAGTGTTCAAGTATCCAAGGATATAAGTTTCATGCTACGGTCTATCATTACTGTGCTACCTGCACCCATGTTCGTAATCAAGGAACATCGGCAGACACAGTGGCTCACTCACAGGTGGTAGGAGAATCATTCTATTCCTGTAAATCACTACAGTCGAGCACTCAAGAACCTCCTCCACTCCCAGATGAGGCGATAAGTTTTGGCAAGCCAACAAATGAACAAATGTATAACTAAGAATGTCAGTGATTCGTTGATTTTTTTTACTATAATAGAATGTTAGTTCAAATTTTTTCGAAACCACTCCTAGAAAGTTTGAAATTATTCACAGAATACAATAAATCTGTTTCAACACGTCACTATTCATCGCAGTTCCAAGAGAACTACGAAGGGGAAAGACCACTGTGGGGTTCAATATTAGTATGCTCGAAAGAGTCACCACTGATCAGCCTGTGTAAAAGGCGTGGTCGTACCCTGACAAGAAAAGAGCTACTTCAGTCGTACTCTTCGATTATTGTTGAAACAATGAAGTTTACCAAAAAATACAATCAGTGCTGCTCGGGAAAGGAGAGCTCACACTAACCTTCCATTCAGTTTCGTTCAGCTGCTAAGTTTTCTTTGAAATTTAATTTTATTTGGCATTCAACTCAAAAACATCATCTAACTGTGACGTCAGTACGACGGTAATAATCAGACATTTAAAGCTGTTTCATTTGTAAATGATATCTATTTCACGCACTTTGCTGAATCACCTCCCGATATATCGCTTATTTCAACGTCGTCATAGCCTTTTTTCTTTAAAGGCTTCCCCTTCTCTCCATCTTTGGCGAGATCCTCGATATTCATGCTGAAATCTGGAACAGTAACGTCAATGTCACAAAATAATAGCAAAAAATGAACGTCCCTGAAGTCACCAAAAACGCTTTGCTAGTTACGGTTCAATAAAAGTGAAAATAAAATGAAAAAGGTCGATAAATCAGTAGCTGGGAAAAGCTGGATCTGTAGACGATCTTGGTGGTCCGATCAAGATGTAGAATTATTCAACACACATGATACGGTGGCAATTATTCAACACACATGATACGGTGGCTAGCCATTTTTTTAGGAAATATGATTTGAACTCCTTGAACCGCTATAGACAATGTATGAGTTACTGTTTGTGTTTGAACTGATCTGATTAGTCAGAAGGGGTTGATTTAGTTTATGCAAATGATTTGTTAGAGTAGTGGCCCATTTCGAGAACGCCGAAGTCATGAACGAAGTATTTATGAACGAATGATATGACATGATGATATGACACTAGACAACGTTCCGAATACGTACGACCATGAGAAAGGTTTTTTGTTCTTTTATATTCTCTATGGATTACTGTGCTTACAATGTTACGAGAATAGTTTGAGGAGGCACCTGAGTATTATGGGGTCACCGTAAAAAAATGGAAGACTACCAGTTTTATGCCCAAGACCAGGAGATTCTATCAAAGCAGAAGTTGTTACGATGCAGAACTCTAGGGTCCACATTATTTCCAAACAAAGTGGAGAAAGCATCCGTACTGCGAAGTTTTGCAGAATCCAGTAGCAAGTAGATGTTGTTGGTTGAGTTTAAAACATTGAAGCACAGCCGTTTCGGTTTACGGCAAAGTTACCAGCTCTAGGAAATGCTTATTCCTAAAGCAAAAAAACAAAGGAACAGTTAGCAGTAGAAAAACCACTGCCTGTATTTCATCTGCCTTGTAGGTCATGGTCTCAATACAAATTGCGCCTTGATTCAATTTAGAAACGAGTTAGTGTTAGGAAGCTCAGCTCGTTTTCCTCCATTACGAACACTCCCCACTGGTGTCCATATTATCTGGGAAATGAATAGTCTTAGAAGCAGACACTACATTCACACGAATAGTTCTAAAGGAAACATCAATCACATAATTGTCTAGAAGAATATCACATTCATAGTGATAAAGCAGTTCACACAGGCTGTGAAATGCGATATGAACAGCAAAGCCTCATCCTCCATCAAGGCCGGTCACCTTGATAAAGTTTGAGAAGTCGAAAATTTAGCTAAAATTGACTACCACTGATTTGTGTTGGTAGTTTCAACAAAGGATTGACCTTCATTGTCTACCCAGCAACTCTTTCTTGCCAATACTAAGTTGTAAATCTTTTATAGAGTCGTGTAACTACTAACGCTGAAGGTACAAGGAAATACTATGACCTGAACAGCTGTAGCCTTATAGCCTTATTCTTAATCAAATGTCTTATTTCTGCGATCCGTATGACACGTAAAGGCCGATCAACCCTAAACCACTTTTTATTTTCAAGTGGTTTGATGCCGTTCTGATAAATATGATATTTTTGCTGCTGATAGAAGATAAGACATGTTCCATTTTGTTTAAAGTTTACATCATTGGTACTAAAGCCTCAATTAAAAACGTTCCAATGCAAAGTGTTTTGAAGGACAAATGAATTAAAGTTAGTTTTTGATGTTCCCCGGCAAAACAGTGGGAGTAACACAAAATCACCACTATTTTAATCGAAACCATCATCACAAGCGCCAATTCTGATGAAGACATCGTCGACGAGTGGTCGGTTGAATGACTAATCGCAGGATTCAGTGCGTCTCGTTATCATGGAGGGAACCGAGTTGAAAACAGGCAGCAAACATTTTTCTAGCCCAACAAATTCGGTGGTCGTTTGAGGCCAATGCCTGGGAATGCGTGACTATTATGAGATTCAAAAGAAAATCCTGCTCGTCTTACATTCAGCATGTCACTGAGAAGAAAAGATGACAAATCTTCAACACGAAACGGAACCCAGCATATGGACAAGACCATTTCAATAAGGAACAATTGAGGACAAAGAGGTGAACCAGAGAAAGCACTGGGAGCAGCACTGCGAATTAACACTGACCACCTAAGGGACTTCGCGAACACGTGGAACAGTCTACCCACTTACCTCGTGCCGACTTACATGGAACAAGCAATTACACAAAATGAAATACACACTTTTCGACGTTTAGCAGCATAATCATTAAGCACCCCCTATCTCTTATCAGCACACAAAAACACGATATCTGATGAAAACCTCACTTGAATAGGGCATTTTTACCTGGCTACGATCTCAGATAATCTATGTAACATCTATAGGAGAAAGTCAGTCTATCTTACTCATCTGTTGTTATGCAAGCGTTTCAAACAAAAACAGCGAAGCTGTTTCATCGATTAGCTCACCAAAAGAAGTCTGAAGAGTTTGCGATGAGTGAATATGTTATCTATTCTAAGGTCAACAAACCTCCTATTTCCATTAGTCAGCAAATTAGTACAGACTTGAAGAAAGAGAAATTTCCGAGGATATGGGAAAATACTGATTCATTTCTACCAAGAAAAAAAGAACCAAACTTTGCAAACCTTCAGAAGATTTTTTCTCTGGAGCAGCTCAAACAGTTTGACACGAAATTTAGTGCACAGAGCAGGGAATAAAAGATGTTCCATAATGCCTGACAGTGATTATATCCTGTGCTGTCATTACGTCATTGATAAAAGTTTAAAAAATCTTAAGATACACTGATTATTTGACGGAGGTGTCGTAATTTCAAAGAGAAATCCACTCGCTAGCAGCTTCCCGCAAGAAAATCGATAGCGCCTTGAGGCAAAAATTTCCTTGTCACCAACTCCCGACGCCCAAAAAACCCAGCCATGCCGTTGCAGGACTCACTGTCGCTGGATTTCCACTCACATCTGCTGCTTCGAATTTTCTGCAGCGCCTAGCTGGACGATGGGATTGTAGCCATCAAAGCGGAAGTAGCCCACAAGTCATGAAAAATTCGATGCGCTTGAATAGGGAGAGACGAAGAAAAGAGTTTTTCGAGCAGGTTTGTCGAGTTTTGTGAATGTTTCGCCCATCTGAACAATGTTTTGTACCTGCCTGTCATTTATTTTAGCCAAAATCACAGACTTCTGGTGAACAGTTATGGAGCAATTTACTTCAACAAAAAATCCCTGACAGCCAAAAGTTGGCTTTTCAACAGCTCACACGAGAAATACTAGAAAGTCGAAAAACTTTGCATAGTGAGTTCACGGAAGGACGTTAAATGCTTTGTTGCGATATGTAAACAGATTGGGTGACATATGAGTAGAAAAAACCCTTATTTTCTAATGAAACTGTTCTCCATCTGCCTGTAGGATTGACCAGAAACGGTCCTGTCCATGAACTAGTGGGTAGTAGGCCATATATAGGTTATTCATCATGCTACCTTAGTTTTCTATCCAAGTCACTAAGTCTCTCACCAACGCCGTTCTTCTCTCAGACTGTCTTTTTTCCAGCTCCAATCCTAGCACTATTTGGTATATTTGTTTCTACTACGTTACCTGCTCATTTATTACGTGATTGTTCGATTGCAAGTGGACAGGTTCTAAGCAGAATGCTTAATAGCATTGCATTTTTCGCTAACGTGTTACTTTTCAGAGTTGTGGAAGTACGTCGTTCTGTTCTTGGTGATTGGTTTGCTGTCGGCGGTGGTCGTCTACTTCCTCACTTGCTGGGTGGAATATCTCGAAGTGATTGAGACCAAATACATTATTCGAGCCGAGATTTTCGCTTCAGGTCGGCCTGCTATTCGTAGCGTTCTTCAGCTGAACTTCTTACTTCACCGCCATCTGAACCTATTACATTCTTTGTAAAAAAAAATCTGGTCTAATCGATTAGTAATAGTAGAATGAGCACTAGGAGGATAACCAGATATAACTTAGAAAATGACTGCAATTACGATGGATTATTGATTCTGGCTCAATAATTTGTCTCAAATTTTTCGCGTCTGATTTGGACACCACCGCCCTCATTGTTTGTTGAAAACACTTTACAGGGAAAAAGAAGTTTATGACAGAAAAAGAAGAAGATTTTTTATACGTTGACCCATTAACTGTCGTAGAATCCAAGTTTTGAAAACAAAATATCGTAAATAGTGCATTTGAAATGCAATATTAGGGACTTGGCTAGGAGGCAGCCACTTAGATGGCTAGCCGATTCACGCACTTTTCCCCCTCCGAAGGATAAATGAAATTTTACACAACACGAATAGGTTCGGTTCATAAGTAGGAGATTCGCCCTTCTGAATATGTTAAATGGGAATCGAGTGAAAGTTCGAATGCTTCAGCTCAGCGATTATTCGAGTGTATCTTGCAATTTCGTGTGGGTGTAGTTGTTCCGCAAGAGCATTCTTTTTTCGCTTTCAGAAAGTCACCGACTCGGATCGATCCTCACTGGCGGGGGCATGCTCAAGCACGAGCCGTCCCCGTCGGTGAGCCTCTGGCGGCTGACGTTGGCAGAATATTGAGACCAAATCCACCGAAACGTTTTCATTCTAAAGATCATTGGGTTTGTTTGGCGCGCAAGAAGAGATTTTCAAATTTTTGAGCTATGTTCAGCGTTAGAAGTGACGACTTCTCCGTCAGCCCTACAGTTTCTTTGATTCTGACTAGATGAAGTTTCTGGCTACGATACCAACCGGTTCTGCGCAGCCGTTACGTTCTCTCTACGACTTATATGGGTACTATAAGTGATAATGATTCTTTTCAGTGTTGCATCATTCTCTTACCCAATGGAATCTCAGCAATTCCGTATGTGAGTTCCTCAATAAGCTACATCTATGAAACGACCTCAGTTTCTAAGCTTTGTTCCAATTCTCATCGAGGTTATCAGCGTCGTAAGCTACGACACTGTCAATGTGTTTATCTGTTTATCATTTATTAATTGTAACTCCAACTAAACGTAGTTTTTGCCCGTTTTTTGAGTTTGAAGTCTCTTGGCATGCGACAAGTCAAACTTTGGGCTAATACAGCAGCTAAAATATTTATGTACTTTCGAACTAGGCCAAGCTTTCTACTTAAAAACATGGGGTTCATCATAACAAATTCTAATTAAGTGGAGCAACGCTTTCTGCATTTAGTACATTCCTCGAATGCCGTGAAAGAGACCGTGTAGCAGCGTGGAGTTCGTCTACCTATTTATTTTTCGCATATTTTATTTATATTTTCTTCGCAGAACCAATCTCGATGCATGAGTTTCTTCCCTCAACTTCTACTCACACCAGAAGAGGTGCTTAGCTTTTGCAGAAAATAGAATTGAGAGTAAACCAGCAGTGCCAGATTTAATCTCCGTATGAGAAGAAAGCAGTGTTGATAACGTTTAACCGTTATTTACTGACTATTCTTCTTTTCGTAACAGGGTATTATGTGAAATACAGCCACGAGTATGCTGAGATATGTGTAGAACCCTAGAACTCAGTTGGCTTGAAACGTTAGTTGAGCTCACGTGCTTACCCACCACACCAGTCCAGGCCCTTTCTTTGCTCCTCTTTGAGCCATTTTCTACTCTAACCGTGGCCTACGTCTTTGAAAGCCACTTAACCATTCGAGTTTCTTCATGTCTCAGCAATGATGGTAATTATCTGTGCCAAAGTTCTTCGTAGCCACCTCAAGAAGTTGTGGAATGGAACAGCTTAATCGTTAATGGGCCAGCAACAATATTCCACACATGACTCAATAATCCCTAATGCCGGTTGAAAGAGAATCCATTCGAAGCAGATCAGATACGAAATCGTGGAAAAGGTCAGTTAATTCTGGACAAAGGTAGTAAATCCAAGATGAGCTGCATTGGGCGTGAGGAGAATAAGAGGATCTGCATCTATCAATATTAGTTTCTTCCAAGCTGCTGCGCGATAAACATACCATAAGACAGTCTTGCCGGAAAACAAGAGTGAGATGATACTAGACGAACAAGGAACACAAAAGGATGTGTTTGTCACGTGCTTCCACTTCATTTTCTATTTTACAGCTCGACAGAGCTCACGTCTCCTTTACACTGCTCTCAATCATTAGATGATGAATCGTCGTCTCGTTTTCTACGTTAACAATGTTAACAAACTCGACAAATTTTTCATCGGGGATGTGAATGTGAGGGAACGAAAATTCCTTGATGAATGCGAGGGTGATTTCCTGAGTGGTTTAATCCATTGATCATTAAGTCTTTCATTCTTTACAATTTCTGCTCGTCGTAAGGTCCATTTCCATAGAGACTGTTGGCCATGCAATTGAGACAACGCGCATTTAAGGTGCGGATATCACAGTGGTAGTGATGTCCGTCATCACAGACATGGTGCTAGTTCGATTCCGCTCTGGGCCAACCGAGCCTGTCATCCCTCCGGGGTCGGGAAATTGCTGCCGGACTTGTCTGGGGAAAAAGTCGCTGCCTGCAAATCAAGCTCCAAGTCGTCTATCTCAGGACTCCAAGGAAAATTGGTCGGCCAGCATTCTACGACATTCTGGATGAAATGAGAATCTTCAAGCAGCAACCGAAGCCACACAAAAGTTGGAAGATCTTCGTGGATGATGGATGCGACGAAACGAATTGATTGTGAGAAATGCTGGGATCAGCAAAGTAGACGTGAAGACGGGTCAAATAAAATAAAATGAAAAAATAAAGATAAACTTGCATTTTGGATCACCACACCACTGTATTTATATATTTGTGAGATTATTGCTGATATACTGAAAATAGGAAGCAGAAGAAAACCCTGTAACAGAGATCATTTGATTTTCGCCATTACGACAATTGTTGGAGCGTCAAACGTCTTCTTCGATTATAAAAAGCCAATCGCCCTCGCGCGCATGACGACGCTCCAACAGCTTGACCTTTATGACGACTGTTCAAGAAGCTTCGTTGCGGAAAATGATGGTTGTTTTACGTTTTCCATGCCCGGTCAGAAGTGGTTGACGAATTACCTTACGGTGTGGGATTTTGCACAAATTGCTGAGTGTTTTTGGTAGACACTTAAGAATAACAGGAAGAATTAGTGCGATTTATTAATGCCTTAATGTCATAGTCAAGGACAGTCTGTCAACTTTAAGCTCAAAACCATTTCGATGAACCGAGGAATGTGCCATCTTGGAACAAATCATGTGGACAGTTTCTTGATTATCATCATGCTTAGTGCTTAGAGAGCATGACAAATGTTCATGTTTTCAAATAGATGCTTTCATTTCTCCAGATGACGTTACTACATGTGAGTGCCTTCTGCTACGCTGAGTTCTCATGAATATTGTCCTAGGATGGATCTTATTTTAAACTTTCGCCAATTCTAGATGTTCGCAAGTAAATAGCGAGATATGTAGTCCTGCTCTCTTATACACCTCTAAGCTAATTCTTTTAGCTCTATATAATTTTTCAAATGGATGACCGCTAACTTTTATCATGAATTTTTCTAATCTGAATGTAGCAGTTGTTTTGCGGATTGCAGACGCGCCGGTCTGTCTGGGAGTGCCAGTGCGGAAACTGGGGGAACCTCCGTCACGACTGATTGAGACCTGTGCACGACTGGTCACCATCATCTCCATTGTCATGCTCGCAAAGGTGGGCGTCTACCTAGCAAAACAGTCCATTTAAAATCATCTGCTCAATGATGAGATTATTTCACAAAGTCCACGACTCCAGAAAGCTGGAGTATGACACAGAATTGAGAAAATACGTTTGCCTGCACATTAATGAGAAGCAGACATACGACCTGATATTTCTATTTACCCTCTTTGTCCAAAAATACCTTAACAGCTAGTATTTTGATGAAAAAGTAGAGCTATGATGAGGTAACATGGAAGTGAAAGTCAATGATTTTTGGAATACGAGATTATCTTTGCTGAGTACGCCAAGAATCCCCATGACTTAACTGCCTAACCAAGAGAATTTTACTGTTCGAATGGCATGGCCATCGGCTTGATAAAGAAACTATTATAAGGCAGTAATTAATGCCATTCGTGAAATCATCATGCGATAACAGGAATAGGATAACAAACGTAGGTGCTTAATTCGACGGCGACTATAAACGATCAAGAACGCTGCCTTGCATGCCATGATGTCGACAATCTCGTAGGCCAAAGACGTGATACGTCTTATGACAACCTCTTCTAGGTGTGAAACCTGGGAACGCTGTTCTACAGAGCGACTCGATACCCAGCCGTCTTATTTAAGACCCTAAATCGAACTATGATCGTCGGTGTCTTTTAAGTGAAATGGACTACTGGGTGTGACAATAATAGGCAAACCTAGATGATTAACGGTGGAACAAGTGACAGTTGTGATTATCACTGATGTCATCTTTCAAGACTATGGAACGAATGGAAGAACTGCTGCTACCTTCATGACATATGAAGACGGGTCATCTAAGTGTATAAGTATGCGTCTAATGTAAGCATTATTATTACTCACCTGCACCACTTGCACGGATGACTCTGCTAGCGGATGGACCGCTCTGTGCACATCGCGTTTAAATAGTTGAGAATATCCTTTAAACACGATTAGGTAGTAAACTTTTGCGAAATTAGGGGAATTCCGGCGTCAATTAAAGACGAGAGTTTTTTCCCGTTTTATCATACCCAATTCATCACTTTTGTCCTAAAAAAAACTTAGTTACAACGCAGCAAGCCTGCCTTTGATCCGTATGGGATGGCGGCACTCTGTGATGGAACTCGAGAACACCGCTTCAGGAGTACCTTGGCGTTTTAGAGAAAACGGCGCTCAACTACAATTAAACGTGTAGGGGAGAAGCCAAGGCTATAGGCTTTTAATCTTCAACACACAACTCCGCCAGCTCTATGGATTAAGGTCATACAGAAACAAAGCGCAATGAAGTGCTGGACCCACATTCCGCGTGGAAACGGGCCTGAACAATCTGATCCAGTGTGCTGAGTTTCATGATGATCGCGAGCCGACTGAGGACTTTTTAGATAGGATCGGGCCAAAACACCTAAAGAATGGTCTTTCCTACTTAGTACACTAGCTTAGCAATTTACAAATTGCCTGTTCCAATCTAAAAAAAACCAGTAAATGGAGAAAAAGCACGGTCATGTTGTTGCGCACATACTCAAGTGAAACTCTCTGAAGAGTCACGACTAAGCAAAATATGACTTCACCCTACTTTTCCCGAATCGAAAAAGACAAGATTTTGATGATTATGGGAACTCATGACAACCAGCACGCTCTTAGTGAATGCGCAGAGATGAAACATAAACATAGAGCAAGTTCACAACCACAATTTCACTTTTCGACATCAGCATCACCAATAGCTGAATTGAAAAAAATCCTACAAAGTGATGCCATCTCGCTATTTAATGACAATCTCAAAGCGGCCATCGTTGTTGGAACCATATCGAGGTTTATCACGTATCAGTGACGGAGATCCCATTCACCGAAATGTGAAAAATCAGACCTACTAGACTGACGCGTCTTAATGACTTTTTGAGTTGTACGCTGTGGGGTAGAGATAACGAAGTGACAACAAAGCCGTTCAATATGTTTAAGTCCTGCTTCAACCCTGCCTCAACCCAATCAAACCCTCCATCTATCGAGGTCTGGAAAATTGGTTCCTGACGCGTTTGGGGCCAGCTCTCTTTTCGCGATCTATGAAACCCAGCGGCTGCCTCCAATGAAGATTTGAAGGCATCCTAGCACAGCTACTACAGGATTCCAGGTGGGATCAGCTCAACGGAAATTCAAAGACCTTCGCCAAGAAGATCAAAAACCCCGAGCAACAACGGAACTCACACTTAAGTCCGTAGACCTTTATGGATGCGAGGAATCCAAAGCTATGCAGGAAGTCATAGGATCCACGCAATATAGGTGACATCCTGTCGTATAAAAAAAAATGTGCGATTTAACGATGAATAGGGTCTTAATGATGTTAGCTTCATTCTATATGTGATTAATGGGAGGTTAGAGATCAATTCATGTAGCTATTGACCACATTGCTGCTGTTTTAGCAACGCCGATATTATTATCATTGTCGTGGATGTGACCTTGAATTGAAGAACTGAAAAAGGATTATAGTACTAAGAAATTTTTCCTCACGATTTTTTAATGGGAGTATTAGATGATTTCAGGGAATTCGATTGGGTTGGAAAATCTGGCACATGCGACGTTCGACGGTTAACACTGAAGAATTGGAGAACGATCCCATAAAAGTGCTATCGGAGACACTACAGAAGGATTTTCTCAGCCATATTGCCGACTCTGGACTAGCGTTCTAAACAATGTCTCCAGTAGAACGCGTTTCGAGCAGCACCAAGAAATTTTTTCCCTTCATCTTCTTTTTCTTATTATCGCGTTTTTATTAAATACATCAACCCATATTCATTATGTCTAAAGAAAAACCCGTGAATATCTTATGAACCCACTTTCATTAAACCTCGGCAATACTAATGAATAAGTCCGTGGACATTTATTACAGTTTGGTCGAACTACTACTAATTTTTTGACTGATTCTTTACATTCCCTCGTGTTGCTGTTATGAAAACCTTATGAGTGCCTGAATGAATCAAACCATTAAGCAGTTTGTTCTATTGATTGTAGTATGCCCAGTGATTTGTACGGTCAAATATTTTTCGGGTGAGTAACAATTTAAGAATTCGACAAGTATAGCGCAGTGGTTACTGATACAGTCATTAGGAAGCAAGGAGCTGGTTTCGACTTATAGGTCGATAAAGTAGAACGCAAAAATAAAACAACTGTGCAGAAACCTTTCTCGCAGACTACTCCATGAATTGTTGTCGTATTCATGAAGATGTCGCAGGCCTCAAATCCACGCATTCGTCTCCAGTCCTGCTTGCAGAAGTGCATTCGCGCCTACAAGTCCCTGTTGACTCACCCGTCGTGTGGCCCAGGCGGAGTCGTGGAGAACTCGTATCAGTCAAAGAGACGATGTTCATAGCTGAAACAATGTTTGCGTTGCTTTTTTTGTGTCGCTCAGTTCGTTTGCAATAAAATCGATCCAGTTCTATTCTCACCAATTGATTGTCGCTTTTATTACAAATTACTATAGAAAACGTGACTTGATTTATGACGGTGTGTAAGATTTTCCCACGATTGCTGATAACAATGAAGAACAGCGAAAAAAAAAAAGAACAAAAACAAGAAGAAACGGCTCTTCAACAACGATGAATTGCTACTGACAAGACGATGACTAGACAACGAGAATGACCTCCAATACTTACACACCCCACGGCTGATAAGAGAAGTAAAAAGTTCGAATAGTTCTTATCCTATAGGTATTACTTCACTGCGCGCTCGGCAGTTCCAAGTGATTTCCAGGGGTGAGTTTCAGGACTCCAGTGGCGGTGGGAGAGTGGATCAATAAGATTATCCAGAATTCGTCGGATTAATATGTTCGATATCTTCTTCATTATGTTACAATCTATACAACTGAAAGCAAATACAAAGATAAGCGATACACTCGGAGACACCGTCGTTTCATGCTGGATAAATTCCCGTTTGTCCATTTGTTTTCATTTTTGAAATACGCTCCTTAAACGGAATATGAAAACGCGTGTGGTGCAGTGGTCAGAGGCGCCCTGCAACAGACATGTGAGATCGATCCCCATGCCCATGGCCCACCTAGCCTTCAATTCCCCAGGGTCGGCAAACTGGTGCCAGACTTATCTGGGAGCATAGCAGCATTGGCTCAATACATCACTAGGCCACCACAGGTCATTATAAAGGCAGATATGCATTCAATCACCTCCAAACGATACTTAATGAACTCGAATGTATGGCGCATCCCTTAGGAATTGATCAACGCCGAGAGCTTTGTCCTGCATCCTTTTAAACGAAATATGTGCCATGAGCTCCAGAACATCACAGCTTAAACATGGTAGAATAGTGTAACTTGTATCATATAGGCAAAGATTGCTAGATTCTGACAGTTCGTATTGAAATCAATGAAGTAACCTACGAGCTGAGAGATACCGGCATAAAGTTGGTAGTGGTTACTGTTTTCATATCCTATGACTTCTATAGAAGTCACGTTAATCAGCTTAGGCTTTCTGGAGGGCTCGTTTGCGACCACTTCCATTGGCGGTCTAATGACTAACAAGAGGACGCCCGCCTCACAAAGAGCACTTAAAAAGACCGATGCCATCGGCAGTAATATTTTAGGGGAGTTATCTCATGTATTTCTTAGCAGTAAAAAACATTGGTCACCAATAAGGACTAGACTTTATGCAAGAAAAAGTAGGTCTTGACTTCCTTCTCTAAATGAGAGGAATTTCGCTTAGATTGCGAAGCCACTACAAATTAAATAGTTTGGAAACCATGACAATTCTTGACGATTTCTACTCCTAACAATTAATTTTTCTAGTGTACCGTTCCAGGCTCTGAAGAAGGCGATTCTGCCGAGACGTCAGCTACGGTTGTGTTGCATGTGTGTTATTGTATAGAAGTAAACGTATGCTGTTTAACAACCTCGCGATTGCTGAAAGAAAAAACGACGAATTAATTTTTCTGTTTCTCAGTTTATTTATAGCGAACATTTGAAGAAGAACGATTTCCTATACTACGTGTTGAGTGGATGGTAAAGCGCATTGAAATAAAGGTGTACTGAAAAGAAGGAACAAAAGCCAAGGTCATTATGGAAGACTCATAGACTAAGAAGGTCATGTGCCTGTGGTGGTAACCTTCCTCTTTCTGATGCTGTTCTCGGCTTCCATCGCCTGTGGCGAAATGGGTTACCGTGGACGGCGTGCGATCAACAGCGGATACGATCTGAATGACCGGCGCTATCTGGCGCTATCTGGCGCCGCTCACTCAGCGGCTCTTTTTCGCCCCAGAAAAACCTACAATTATCTTGTCATCTATCATGTCCTAATCAGATTTCGCACACCTTATTCATTGTATTATGCCTCTCTTTAATATATTTACCATACGAAGTAGCTTGTGAGATAATAATGGCGATATATTAGATATAAATTACACGTAGAAAAATTAAACTTGCCTACGAATCCTGGTAAAAAAGAAAGCCAGAAATGCCTTAGCACAAATGGGTTTTAGCAAGTTCTTATAGGAACTGACGCAAACTTTTACAAGGTCTTGACTTTAATCTTACCGTTTAAAGGCAATGGTAATTCCATGGATAGTCTCAGAATTTTTACCTCATGGCAATAAAAATCTTTAACAGATAAGAAGTACAGTAATCAGTACTAGTTAATACTAGCGTGATTGCTGATAGCATCGAAAGAGTAAAAGTACGATTGAGAGAAAGACAAAGAAAGAGACTCGGCTGGTGTGGTGGATAGTACACAAGCCCCGGTATAGATAATTCTGCGTTCGAAGGCCCTCTGAGGTTCCGTGTTCTGTTCACTTCTCACCATCCTTGTGGTTGTATTTGATATAGTACTCTACTATGCTTGAAGAACAGACATCAAATAGGAGTTAAAACATTGTGATTTCAATAATAGTGAATTAGAATAAGTGGCTAGCTTTATTTCCAAATTCTGCACTCTGTTTAGTAAATAAATGCGCCGTCAACACAAAACAGCGCGGTCCCCGGCTCAAAAGGCAAAATAGTGTGTAGTGTCTCCTTCGTTTTGCGCTTAATTGATAGTTGTGAAAAGGTGCGAAATCGGGCCACGATGACCGTAAAAACTACCAGGACGACTCGAAATGAGCGATTATTTATTAGCACACAAAGTGAAGTCTGTGCGACATCATCATTGTTGGTGGTCGCAAATACACACAGGAAAACATCCCATGGCCACGGAAAACGAAGAAAACGTAGCTGATCTCAGCCGGCAGTAATGAATTCCCATCTTAAACTTGTTTAACCGGAAGCCATATGCACTCCAGATTTCAGTGGAGGTGCCCATCTGCAAAAATAAGAGCTGTTTTAATCGAGAACTTCATATGATTGCCCCGAAAGGAACTCTGCACCTCCGACTGATGAGTTTGCAGAGAATAGGGAAATTTTTTGTATTTACCAAACACCACCAATCTCTTGCAAGAACAATTTTCCACAGAACAATCATTCAACGCGTTGGTTTTTCGCGCTTTCAGCTGCCTTTGCGACAGTAATTCGGAGTTTCTAGCGCTACCGTAACCTTTACGATTCCGCTAAAATGGTGACGTTGCTTTTTACGAGCATCGAATGATGCCTTGATTTGCACTGTGTATTCGCGTCCAATGGGTCGTATGTTAGCGCAGCTAAACGCTTACGAAAGAGTTTAGCGAATCGTGGAGACCCCGTGGGACAATGAGGTACTGCGCCATGGCACGAGTAGTGTGACCAGAATCTCTAAGTTCACGATCCGCTTCACTTAAATGCACTTCTTTCGCATCCAATTGCCCGAACAGTATTCAATTCAATAGCTGGAACAGGTACTCTGAATCCACATGGTGTCGATGTACTGTGAATCAAACGCATGGTTTACACTGCAAAAAACGAGAAATGTTCGACAGAGAGGTGGATATGGAAGCTGCACTTGCCGTTTGCCGGCAATTGGTATGGCTTTTCTCAAACTTTTAATGTGATGGAATGTTATTACTCAGTCCGATAAAGTAATTGTTCAATATGGGAATTAATTATATAAACTGCGATGTGCACGCAAAATTTGCTTTCCGGTGCCAAAAAATTATTGTTCATTTCGTGTTTCCTCAAAAGTAACCCTGGATTGACTCTATAGTGCATCTCCCGCAATTTGGTCGTAAATTTGTCAGGTAGTGATGAGGTAATAAAGATGTGCGCATAGGTATGGGCGAGGTGCGATAGGAAGATAAGCGCCAAGGACACTTGCACCATTTGTCAGCAGAATATCGGGCGGAGACCCCCCTCGGCGACTACGACGGCTCTTCGCCATCGTCGACGTCAACACCATATTGCAGAGGAACCGTGTACGACCCGTGATGCAGACTAGCATAGGAATTGAGAGTTGTTCGCCTAGCGGATGAGAGCCCAGATGACCTGTGACCAGCGAGGTATCATAGTTGCGATTTACCTCAGATGATGTATTTAAAGATATCACATACAGCATTTATTACTCGGAGATGAAGGACAAAGAAACCTGTGGTAATGATATAAAAGGCACAAAATGTTCATTTACCGAATACCAGTACAGTTGAGAGGCAACGAAACGAAGAATCAATCGAAGGCAGCGAACAGTAAATTTAGGGGAAATCCTGCATTAGTTCATAGTTCAACACACAATCACTGAATTTCAGTAGACAATGAGTAATCGATACATATTATATACATAAACAACTTCATGCTTCTATGACATAGCTGAAGAAGGAAAAGACGACAAGAGAAGTGGTGACGTCGTCATGAACATCGGTAGTGGTGGTGGTATTGGAAACAGTGGTCGCTAAAATCAATGTGTTCGGCTTGAGACTGAAACACAAGTCGAATGTGCTCATACCGTAGTCTGCGATGGCGAGGGAATGATCGCTGGGAAAATAGTTGGGTACATTGGGAGGTGTTTTCTGCATCGAGCGCGTCGATTGGAGAACCATGTCTAGAAAACAAGTTCAGTTCTTCCACAACTAAGCTTAATAGTGCAATTTTTCAAATTTTTCTCTCCCACTCCTCTCTATCATAAAACGCCACGCACGGAATTTTCTATGTAGAAGTAAGCTCTTTTCATTTTCCTATGTGTTCCGAACAAAATATGTCTTTAGACTTCTTTGCAGAAAAGTAATCATTCTGTTCACAGCGCCCACCATGATCTTCTCCTCGGTGAGACCTGTTTGTCGGGCGATCGTCTCCCTTTCAGTAGCATCTGGGTATGTGTTCGTTTTGAATGCACTCTCCAACGTCTCTAACTGTTCGGCTGAAAATGATGTTCGATTTCTTTTCGATTCCGATGTTGGAAAGAAGTCGTCGTCCGAAGAAGAAGATTTGCCGTCTGAATCTGAAAAATGATTGGTCGAGTGGTCGCGACACAGCAATTCGCGCTCGTTTTATGCTCAAAACCTAAAACATTCGCGTTCTGCTACGTTACCGGAGCTCATAGAAGTCACAGCGGCAGAGCAAAAGAGATCAGCGTCTACTGAATATCTCGTGAATATATTTAGAAAGGAAGGCGTTCATGGAAACAATAAGAAACTTCGTAGTTCGAGTACAATGAGAGAAGAAGCGGAGGGTCGAAGGTGAAGCATGGCAGTGATGAGATGGTGAAGTGTTATCAAGAGGAACGGAGTATTGGCTGACTGAAGTTTGAGCGGCAACCACAAAAGAAACACGGATCAGCGTCGAGTTTCGCTATCAGCGACAGTGTGCCCGCCACCTCTCTCATTACCTAATCATCGCACGAAAGGTGAGAAAAGTGACGCTGATCTGCGCCCAGATAGTGACGTCAACCGAAACCCCAACAGCCCACCACACCGCTGCTAGGACATCGATTTCTGAAGAATTGTTCCTCAACATCTATTGGAAATCGAGGAAAACACAGAAAAAGAAAAGAAAACCAATGCAGAGAAGCCACTCACAAACTTTATAAAAATATATATTCTTGTCATCATTCGCAAATAACAATGCCAGAAAAATAGGAAAAACTAATGCGAATGAGCCGTTTGTTGAAAGCCGAAAATAAAAAGTTATGGATATAAATGGGTTTTTCGGGAACTCCAAAGATCGACTTTCTATTAACCTTTAAATATATTGGTTTTCTTGATAAGCACACAAAGATGTTGTTATTGTACTATTTATAGCTAAATATCTGTATATGTATTTCTTTGCTGAGGTCATGAAGATGTTTGGCTGGATAGATCGCGATTCAGTTTCACCTCTCCAGGCACTGAAGGAGGCGAGGCCACCGAAACGTCGGCTGAGTTATAGTTAAACAACTTTTTTGATTTTCTTCTTTCACGAGAAACCCCCACTTCTTTGCAAACACTGGGATCACCGTGTCAGTAGCATTCGAATGGAATTTAAGTTCAGATACAGAATTGTATTAAACATTATCAAAACTTCCTAAAGTAGCAAAAGCCGTTTTCTGGCTAGACTGCGCCATAAGCTCCGAACAAGATACTGTTTGTCTTTCAGCACAACACAATCTCTTTTAATATTCGTCAACAGTTTTTATAGGGTTATTCGTGAACGACCATCAACGATCTCGCAAATGTGGCTCACCTAATCACTTCCACTTTATGGATACTGTAATTCATTTAGAGCGGCTCTACTCGTAGAAATGGGATTACATCAACTGTTCTTGACGACACGTGTCGGATATCGCTTTCGGTGAGGATTACCGCTCTCTGCAAGTTAGCTCCGGCTCGCTGATCTCATTCTCTATTACTTGTTCTTCCCTTAATGATTCGATGTCTACGAACACGGTAAAGCCACGTGCCCCAGCCAGGAGTGCATTAATTTTAGCACAAAGTTGTCTAATCGCTGCACAGATGCTATCTATTGTTGGAAAAATTTATAGTGGTCGGGTCAATTAGTGCCGGCATGAATCATGAAGGAATGCGAATGAGAGCAATTGCTTACTGAAGTACTCCAGATATTTTCTCGAAGAGCAGTTCGAGAGATCGTTTGTTGCGCGAATTTTGAGGTGCCGATCAGTCTGCAACGACCTCAATTGCAGCTACAGTAATCTGTGGAATAAAAGGCGAGTTCTGAGAGGAAAAAATGAGGCCGACGATTATCGCGCGTGAAATTAAATGAAGAAAAAACGAAGAGTTGAAATGAAACGTGTGAAAGGCAAACAGGGATCAACTTTACGAACGAACGTAATCGTGACTCACCCAGAGAAATTCCAAGAATACTGTCGATACTGTGACTGAGCCGTTTCTTCTCCGGCTTTTTGTCGCGGTGCAAACCTTTACCGCGAATAAAACGGTTTATGGATGCGACTGTGGGAGCAGTGGATCGCGAACACACTTCTGAAATCGCTTTCTTATGCAATGCATACGTAACCGTGAAGGTGACATCACTCGTAAACCCCCTCAGTTCACGTTTAGGTATCTCCGCTAGAGATTCTATCTGATAATGCAGTATTCAAGGTGTGGGATCACACAATAGTGAACTAGACAGCGCCTGAAGCTCTCAGGAAACGAGGTCAGACCACAAAGCCTTAGTATCGTGTTCAACATATGAGGAGATTCTTTATAAGAACATGGAACTCTGTTCGTCATTCCACATTCTGTAAGAAAGGAATTTTTCTCCGTTCACTACTCCACTACTATCTGAAGCAGATGTTGTTCATGCACTCTGAATTTGATTTTAAAAAATCTCACCTTGTTCGATGAGAATCTGTCTAAGTTCCGCAGCGCAAAGATTTGGATTCTCCTCGTAGGTAAGCATTAATTGCTTCTCGATCGACTGCAATGAGATCTTCGCTCGAGGATTGCCGCCGATCTGAATTCAATCAGTGAACTCGAACTCATAAAAACTGGTTATTTAAGGAAAAATTTTTCTACTTCTCTTTATTTAACTTCTAGAAATAGGCAGATGCTATATTTTGGTGAAACTTTCCATAAAAAGCCTAATGAGCAATAAATATGAAGGGCTGTGAGGTCCGAAGCTTCCTGAAATCCCTTCATGTTTTTATAAAGATACCCATCTTAAATGACGTAAAAATGATTTCAGTAGTAATAATGATAATAACCGTGAGTGATTGGAATCGAAAACAAAGTCGTTTTCATGATTATATGAAAAAGTTACTAAAAATCGACGAGTTAGTACTACTGGCCTAGCAATGGACAATGGATGTCCTGCTCGATGTCTACAGTACAACACCGTATTGCGAGAGCGGCAACCACCAGCCGAGCAGCTGCCGCCAAGCACTGCGTGCACAGCGGGCGATTCTTTGTCTACAGCGGCCATGATCACAACAACACCAGCGAAATTCGAATGTTCCTCCTCTAACAGCTGGTAAAAGATAGAGTTGGTTACCTGTCCTGGAGAGATCGATCCCGTTTCCGCATATCGGTTCAAAATTTTTGACACTGCGCCGTGAGAGACACGAAGCTGACGACTTATATGACATGGTCTAAACTACTATAAGGATGATATCTCAACAAAAGAAATCATGAAGTTAGCTGAAAATTCTTTTCCAATCATCAAAAGCAGAAAAAACACTTAAAAACCATTCTACCCATGGAACGAGTGGCAACGAAAAACGGGGATAAAATTGTAATTTCTTGTAGATTTGACAAATTGGGGTCAATAACCAGTTGAAAATAAAGATTGAAGGCTAAATAGTTAAAAATGAAGAGTTTAGCACTAGAATAGAATTCACAGATGAAGACACAGTAGATGGTAAAGCACGCACTTTACTCCTTTTGAAGCCATTTCTATGATTTGCACTCGAACTGCTTGCGGAAGTGGGCGGCCATTGATGAATACTCCACCAAGTTGATTCACTCGACCCTAAAAAGGCATTAATAACCCACGGATTTGTTCTAACGTTAAATCATTCCACATATTTTTCAGCAGACGAATTCGTAATAGGGGGACAATAGTTGGAAACGTAAGCTGGAAGTTGCGTAGAGTATTCGCACAAGACGAGTAGCATAATACAGGATGAATCGAGCTGATTTACCTGGCCAAGTATATGGTTGAAGGTGATCGTTTCAGTCGTCATGGTTGAAGTGCTCGGAGACAACGGTTGTGAGTACCAGGAGACTGTTCCGGCCTGGTCCGCCCATCGCGCCAGGGTACGGTAGTTTCACCACCAATTACGATGAAAGGAGTGCCGAAGAGGGCAGCGAATCATCTCGACACCAATTTTATTGGAAGTTTTTGAAAACACTGCGACATCAGAACAATCAACACGGGAATGAGCGATATGAATGTGAACTGAGAACGAAAAGACAGCACACAGAGAGAAACACTTGAATGCCAACAATTCACCAGTAGTTTCCTACTTTCCTCTTTAAATCAAACATGTAATTTTTGTCGTTCATACTCATTTCATTACTGCTCTCGACAGTCCCATAAAGGTTTTTCGACTCCTTAGTTTTAAAAAAGGAGAAATCCCCAAAATACGAAAACACAAATGAGGAATTAAAACGTTGAATAAATAAACCGACGAAAATAATAAAAACTTATAAAGATTCGTAAAATTACTTCAAGCTAGTGTTGATTTGAAAAACCTTGCACAACTTGGACAATCACATCGACCATGTGCGGTGTGTCAGGGCGGGGTGAACACCACCATGACACGCCTCGCCTGATGTCCGCTGTGAATTTTCATGACAAGCAAGAAACCTTTGCGAGAAAAACGCGCGCAAATAAAAATCCGAATTCCGGATATCCAGACTCCAAAGTGGGCTGATCAAAAACGTCTAGAAATCGAAAACTGCAACAGCAACGGGATGCGGAGACTTTTAGACCCAACTCTAAGAAGCCTTCGTTTTTTGCTTTCCAATTTATTAAACCATCTGCTATTACACATGTCGCACTATGGGGTTGCAGCACTTCTTGAATTCGGTTCCCTTTCTCGCATCCACCAGCTACAAATGCCTTTGAACTTTTTCGCGTGTAACTACTGTGTGAAGATTTTTCGTCTTCGCCGTGAATGTCTTTGAATGCCAGTGGAGTCACTTCTCCTTGAATTTTGAGATTGTCACATTAGTACGTACCCACGAGCACTGAACGGAGTGATCCAACCCCATAGAAGTCTGATACCTATTTGTCGCTCTTGGACAGATGAAACGCTTAGTGTATACGGGGTGGGGTCTAAACAGAGCCCGGCCAGGTTGGGCGATTCTCGTAATGAGTGGGACCACTAATACTGCACTACCTGCGGTTCTTCAACATTTTTAATTTATACTCTACCAAAGAAATCTACACATACCATAGTAATTTGCTGCTTATAACACCCTTATCACTTTTTATTTGGTGAAATAACAAATCGGAAAATTTGCACTTATTTGCTACATGTTCTGATGCACGTATCCTATAACTCACTCCAGCATGTAAAGGAGATAATGAGGTCGGTCTAATGATTTACTAGGTGTCGGCAGTTCACAGTAGTTGTCTCTCTATGATCGCAAAAAAAGCCAGAGAAGAATCAAGGCAAGTCAGGCCTAGTAAAGTGCAACTGTACCATTATAAAGTCTTTTCTACAATGTATTTCTAGACTACGACAAGAATAAAGGTCTTGTGCACCATTATCACCATCATTAATGCCATTTCTGTCCACCGAAACTTGAAAGCACCGTGAGAAAAAGTCACACATTCTAGATGTGTTCCATCTTTTAAAAAACTAACAACATTTTCACCTTTTGGCCCAATGCTGTTAACCGTTAGTTAGGAGGAGATATAGAGATTAGTAGGCCACCATTATATAGACCAAATATGCATCCAAATAGCTCTACGATACCTAACGGAAACGAATCCATAACGCGTCCTTAAGGAATTGTTCAAAGCCAAACTCTTTTCTCTTTACCTTGCCATCCTTTACTGAAATTATAAGTCAGTACAAATTTTGGTTACAAAGAAAGACTATGATAATTACGTGAGCAATTTTAGCTTGAACACTGTTAGAGATTTCATCATCAACGAGGCCTTTGTCATCAAAATACTATCAAAACAGAGATTTGGGATAGCTGCGCAGTATACCTAGTTTTTTTCAACTTCTCTTTTTCCAGCAAAGTAGCCGCCACAATTATTACCACGCTTTTGGCCCAGAACCAGGAGCTATTTTAGTTTATTGAGTCGCTGATATAATTCTGCTGACTTTCAAAGCCCGATTCAAATTCGACTGGCACTAAGTCATACAGCAGATATATTTGCGTCGTCGGATACGAAAACATTAAATTGCACATGAAAATGATTTAGATGTGCTTGGATAAATGTCGACTAGTTCTAACCTTTCGTTCTCAAATATTATCAGATTCAAAATGTTTGATTTTTTATTCACTGTTTATCATTACTGTACATGGTATTATGCGAAATATAACCAGAATGTTAACGTCTTATTTACTGTCTATTGCAATTTTTCACGGCAAGGTATTACGTGTGATACAACCACAATGATGCTGAGATGTTTACAAAACTCCGGACCGCAGGTGTCTGCGATGGGGAACGAACGCGCAATTACCCTTTCCGAGGACCAACGCGTTCACCACCACACCATGCAGGTCCTTCGTTTCGCCTGTCTCTAATTCCGCCCCATCAGTCTCGTTGATAGGTGGTTGCTGATGGCACTGATCGATAGAACTAGCCGATAGAAAGGAAACCAACACGAAATTATGTAGAATGTCCTCAACTACTTATCATTTAAATATCAGACGTACACCAAAAATAAACATAAAGTTGGAAAAAACCTTCTCCTGCAAAAACTATAAACATTCGAGTATACTTGATACTTGATACTTGAATGGCCCGTCCTCACTGTTTGCGGTTGTGCGGGCCCCAGCATAATCTCCATTTTTCGGAGATTTACTAGTTAAGCCATTATGGCGTCCCGAGGTCAGCCTGGCCAAGGTATGCCCCGGGTCTTCTCCACCACGGGCAGTCGCAGCCCTTGTGGATCAGAGGGAGATTTACCAGCATGCGGCTTTGATACCAGGACGGTGGTGGATCCTCGTATTGGTTTACTCTAAGGTTTAGCTAAGCTAGGCTTCTTGATGGAAACGCCGGACTCCTGAGATTGGGAGACCCTGCCAGAGGATGAATCCCCGCTGTAAATCGCAGTCCGACACCCAGGAACACCTCCCAGCCACGATGAGGCGGTAAACCGTTGGAAGGAACATCCGAGTCTTCTAAATTCAATCTAGATAATCACAATAGTGTTAAGATATGAGCAAAACTTGGAACCTCAGCTGGATTCCGAATAGGCGATTAGCCTCTCCACATGCCATCCAGCACACGAACCGATGCCTTTGCTTTGCAATTCTCTCGGCCACGTTTTTACTCTACCGGTGCTCTCAGCAATCACCCGTCAACGGGAGTGGTCTGAAGAACAGAAATAGGCAATGGACCCAGTTATGTTAGGGCTGCTGTCGAAATCACAATGTCCATCTTTTAGCCCACGGTTAGAGTAATCTCGGGTTCGATGACCAGCACAGGTTCTAGGTTCGGCTCATATTCCAGCATCCTTGCGTTGCATTTCCCATAGTATCCTGCTATAAAAAATGGATAGACAGTAAAAAAAGTCAAACGTTTTAATTTAAATAAATTTCTAAAAAATAACCATCAATATTCACTACCACTGTCAATTTTTACCTGCCTTACCAGTCTTTTGGCATCCGAACTCTCACATAACACTAGCAGCCGACTTGTATTTAACCTCGGCATAAGAATCAATATCTTCTTGGATTATTGAACTAACACGATGTTGAAACGAACTATTTATTCTCGACGTCCTCGTCTTCTTCAAAGTTATAGTGATCCGTCTTGACGATCCACTGGTGGTTGGAGCGATGAGGTTGTTCGTTTTCATACCTAATCGAGTTCGAATGAAGTGGAACACCGGTGTCGAATAACATATTCATTTATCAACTGTAGACTCCTAAAGTGATAGCAAGACCCATGTCCGACGATTTCCAATAAACAATCGCCATTGTTGTGAGTCGAGTCCTTCTCTTAGAGGAAAAACACGTTCGATTTGAACTCAACAACAGTTTCCACTGTCCAGTGTTGGAAGAAAAATGATTTTTACGGTCCTTATCTAATCTCTGCTTGAATAATTCTCAACTTGGTTAAATGACAAGCTTACAGCTGTTGTTATGAAAAATTTCGCTACGGCTAATTTTTCTACGCCACTCTTTTCTGCAGAGCCGTTATCACTTGAGCCGAATATTCACAGCAGTTTATCATGCGGTGTTCCATTCCAGTATTTTTGACCAGAACAGGCCATAAAGTCTCACACATGACAATTCCTATCGTTCAAATTGACGCAGCTGATGAATTTTAAAAGCAAATTTCTTAAAAAAAACCATCTCTTTAATTCTGACAATCATTTTTAATCCACCGTTGAGATATGAGCAGAACTCGGAACCTCAGCTGGGCTCGAGCCCGAGATTGGACCTGGGCTCACGTGCTGTCCACCACGTCAGCCTAGACCCATGCTTTGCATTTCTCTCAGCCAGTTTTTTACTCTCACGGTGCTCTCACTAATCATTCTCCAGTAGAAATTATCTGTGGAGCACGAGTCGGCATTGAACCTAGTTACACTGAACCTGCAGTCAAAATCACGATGACTGCTGAAAGTTCCAATTGAGTAGAAACATAGTTGAGAGAAAAGCAAATAAAGGACCTCAATTGACTTGGTTGACAGCAGATGAGTTCCCAGTAAGGGTAATCGCTGGTTTGAAGCCCAGCTGAGGTCTTGAGTTTTGCTCATATCACGGCATCATTATAGTTGTATTCACTCTTTTCACTCTCTTTTCTCTTTCACTCTTTTTCTTGATGAGCAAGAATGATGCGCTACTCGAGCATTTACCAATTCATAATGGCCGATGCTTCGGAGATTTCTCTTTCTTCAGAGCCTGGAAAGGTCAATTTGACACGTAATCTACTTAGCCGAACACTTTCATAACTCAGCCAGCGGTTAGAACTTAATGCGCAAATTTCCTTTCACACAACAAACAGCTTTTTTAAACACTCACCCTTTGTTCGTCGTAAGAAGCCTCCCCTCCCAACGGTTTACCGCCTCATTGTGGCTGGGAGATGTTCCTGGATGTCGGGCTGCGATGTACGGCGGGAAGATTCGTCTCTCCGGCAGAGTCTCCAAGCTGAGAAGGAGACCGACGTTTCCGTCAGGAAGTTTAGCTAAGAGTAAACCAATACCAGGATCCACCACCGTCCTGGTATCAAACTAATCGCATGGTGGAAAATCCCCCTCTGATCCACAAGGGCTGCGGCTGCCTTTGGTGGTGAAGACCTGGGGCAGACTTTGGCCAGGATGACCTGGGGATTCCAAGGAACCACAGTGGCTTAACTAGTAAATCTCCGAAAAATGATGATTATGCTGAGGCCCACACAACTTGTGAGGACGGGCCGTTCAAGTATCAAGTAAGAAGCCTCCCAGTTGTTTGGTAGAAACCAGCCACGTAGAGTCGTGGGCGAGACATGTGCTTGGGTCAGGTCACAGAATCAGCTTGAGGTATGGCGCTAGGTGACGCGTGATCACAAGGCACTCCTCTTTGGGGTTCATTTTTGGATATTTAGGATTAGTCCAAAAGGGTTCAAGAGTTTTAAGAGCCGATGTTTTGGATTCCTGTACCAGGATAGTGACTTTTAGCTCAAAATCTTCTCCGTTGCGTCTTTGTGTCCTACGCCCGCCCAGTGGAGTATTTTGTTTAAGTTTCCCAACAAGGTGCTCTTTCATACGACAGCAGAGTGGTCTATCCGATTCGCCAATTTATTCGTTCCCGCATGCATTACAACAGATTAGGTACACTGTGCCCGAATCCATGCAAACACCCTCTCTACCGTTAGGGCATAATATGCAATTTTGCATTCTACATGGACGATCGCACATGCGCTTGCAAACCAGCTGTCGTTTGAGAGCGTTCGCTGGTATTTCAATCACTGATTCCGATTTCTCTAGACGGGCACTTTTTAAGCAAAATTTTATAGCTGCACTTACTTCCATGGAAATGAAAGGCGTGATAAGCAACACCTTATTCTTACCAACATTATCGTTTAAGGGCGTGGCTTTTCCTCCACACCTATCGCGAGGAGCTACCGATTCGTATCCATTGGAAATGGCTACTTACTGCGCCAATTTCAGCGATTCTTCCTTCAGCTCTCTACCTGAGCGCACACTGATTGCTTTTCGAAACATGTTCCTCACAAGTGTCGTTTTTTATTGCTCGGATTTCAGCACCACTTGATGATGTAACAATTTTCGGATAGGCTAACTTGAACGTCCAGAGATGAAAACCAGTTTTCTTCCGTTTTCACTCCAGTAAACTTAATGTACTCTGGTTGTCTATTCAATAACCCAAAAATATTTGTCCATTTGCTCTTGCGTGGAACAAATGAGAAACCAGTGATTTATATATCTACAGTAGAGTAATTCCCAAAAGTTGATTTCTGGTGCTTTCACTTAGATAATAAATGCAATGGCAAGGCTTGGTGCCATTCGGTGTCCCATTGCCAACCCTCTCATTTGTCTGTAATATTTTCCAGACTATCTGAAGATTGAGCAAGTTAGGCACTTCTTTAGAAGTGTCATCAACTGCTGGATCTTGAAGGCGTATATTTTTTATGGCTCCTTTGTGATGCATAAGGAATTCGAGGATGGCTTGCATAGCGGAGTCATTTAACATGTTAGCATAGAGGGTGGTAATAATCGTGAGATAAGTCGCAATGTTTCAGCGACTGACTGAGAATTTGGTTTATAAACTAGACTATTCTATTCGTTGGCCCTTCTAGACGACTAATGATGGGTCTAATCTTGAAGGATAAAGAGTCCGTATACGCCAGCGATACTGATTTACCAATTTTGATAAGCAAGTATGATACGAGATATATTGGCAATTCAATTTTAAACTGCAAAATAAATAGTGCTTCTAAACGTGTCGCTCTTGTCACTTCAGTGCAATTTTCGGTTTTGACTTTTGAATTCCTTTTCAGACGATGAACGATAAAGGGGAGCGTCTACAAGGTCTTTTCACGTCATCTCGACATCTAACTGATCAATAATTACTAGAGTCTCCACCAATATTATAAAATGATAACGTAATAATTTCAGATTTTACTAGTTCTCGAAACTGTCGCACACCTCACCTTTACACTGCTATGAGGTTGTGGCCAAGCTTTCTATCGCGATTGTGGTTAAGGAGTTCGACCTTTTAACAGAATCGACCTTGAGCCAAGTGCAAACTGCACGTAACTCTACGCAAGAATTCTTTACACATAGATAAGTTTTGCTCTTACATAAGCCAGGCACATTCATCGCTTATGCAGCTCTGAGCAGTTGATCTCTTCCAAGTTACTAAAAGGCTTACAAAGCACAAGATTGTGAACATCTAAGAGAAGCTGTTCATTATTCGAATAGAAATTTATGGATAGCTACGATCCGCTGAGGTTATGGAAGTGCATTGCTGAGTAGATTCCGTGTCAATTTGACATCTCCAGACACTGAAGAGTGCAAAACCGCCGATACGTCAATGCGTCAGCTACTCCTAACTAATAAATGCTCTAATAACAACCCCACATTTGCTCATTACGAAGAACAGTGAATTACTGGTCAATGCCGCGAGGATGCCGGTCCTGGAATTTGCTAGCTCTAACGATGTTTGACGACGTGAATGCATGAATGACAGAACTGAACAGATTGGCTGACACCAAAAGGTTTATTTTTTCCATTCACCATTCCACTTTCATGGACCGAAAACTCCAGTGGACATCTTGTTTCCAAAATTGGTGGGTACATTTGGACTCTTCCTAAGGACTTATCTGCGTTTACCAATAACTTGTTTTCGTCCAATTATTGAAGTTCAAGGAACGGTGAAGTATGTACACTACCTCGAAAATAATGGTAGAATAAGCTCTTGATGCTACTTATATATAGATATTTAACACAAAGCGATTATTACCGACACTGATGGAAACCACTTGCGCAGTAAATATGAGCACATTTAATAAGTCAACAAACCAGAGCAAAATAAGTTATATTTGAGTAAACTCGATATCTATAAGGGTTCACAGAGGAACATCAAAGAAAAAATTGATCAGGAAGATATCATGATGCCAGCAGATCTTTTTGGAGTGGCCAAATTTTTCGGGAAGACGTACATGACAACAGATGAGAGGATTAAAAAGTGGCACTCTTCTAAGTTTTTTATAACAACAGAGACAAAATCCGAAACATCTGGAGACGAAATCAAACAACAAACATAAATTTTGGTTGAAACAACAAACAACGGCTGAAGAGGTGGAAAACTTCATAGGCGCAAAAGTTTTGAAACTTCAATGCGAATCTACCCATACTGGATTAAAATTAGGCCATAACCAGGCTCAGAGCATTCCTATTAACAGAATTTCCAACGGTTTCCACATTCGAGACAAAATACAAATGTAGTCATTGGCTCATCAGATGAACGCGTTTGAAGTTGGGTGTAGGTGCAGTTCTTCTTACCACATTTTCCACATTTGAACATATCAGAAGGTGTTCCTAAATTTATAATAAGTAGATGAACAGACACAAAGTGGGATACTACCCGAAAAATTCACGAATTTACGAATGTAGTGAACAATGAAAACAAAATTACCTTGCTGGACGCTCATTTGATGCTCCAGTATGGCAGCTTTGTTGAATTTTTCGCGCATTTCACGCACCTCATCAGAAGCCATTTCTTCGCTAGTCATGACAGCAAACTTCTCAGGCTTTACAACTCCAGTCAACACATTCTCCCTTAATTTAAGATACAATTAGCAAATAACTAACACTTTTTCATTTGTTCCGAGTTAACTCCTACATGTGCTATTAAGTTGAGTGCAGAAATACGAGCAAGCCATCCATAATTATGTCTAGTACCTAAGTTAACAGCTCGGCAAGCTATACTATCAAAAGGATATCAAAAACCATTCACAATGAAATAAATAGGCTTCATTCCCTTGAACTCGAAAGAGCTCCGGTATGGAAGCATTGGGTAGGACGAGTGCAGAGAGGTTACTAAGGACATAATAAAAAATGAAGTTCCTGGTTGCCAACTCTGGACCGCAGGTGTCTGCGGTGGGGAATGAACGCGCTATTGTCCTTTCCGGGGAGTAACGCGTTCACCACCACACCATGCGGGTCCCTCGTTTCGCCTATCTCTCAGCTAGTTCTGTCGATCACTACCATCAGCAATCATTTATCAGCAGGATTGATCTACGGAGCCCAAATCGGCAATGAACCCCAGTTAAGTTAGGGTGATTGCTGATGGCAAAAGATCGATAGAATTAGCTGAGAGCCAAGCGAAACGAAGAACCCGCATGGTGTGGTGGTGAACGCGTTACTCCCCGGAAAGGACAATAGCGCGTTAGTTCCCCACCGCAGACACCTGCGGTCCGGAGTTTTGCAAATATCTCAGCATCATTAAAGTTATATTTCGCAATGTATACCCTGCTGTTAAAAAAGAATAGGCAGTAAATAAAAAAAGTTAGGAAAGTTCTCGGTGCTGATCAATCCCTGAGGGATGGACCATACATTCGACTTCGTAAAGCATCGTTTGGAGGTGATTGAATTCATATCTGGCCATTACAGTGACTCGTGGTGGCCAACGATGTATCGAGCCAGTGCTGCTATCCTCCCAGACAAGTCCAGTACCAATTCGCCCCCCCCCCCCCCCCCCCTCCCCCCGGAGGGATACACGGCTGGGTGGTCCATGGGCGCGGAGAGCGATACCATGTGTGTGTTGCAAGGCGCTCCGACCACTGCGCCACACTCGCCCATACTAAAGATATAATGACCAGTAAATCGAATAAAACTGCAATTTCGATTGCAGAGTCAGCTGAACTGGGTTCATCGCTGATTTGTGCCCTCTGGATCACTCCCGTTTACGGGTGATTACTGATGGCACCGTTAGGGTAAAAAATTGGCGGAGAAAGGCTTTGATGGTGCACTGGGTAACATGTAAGCCCTTTAAAACTGTGATCGCACGTTCGAATCTGGCCTGGGGTCCTAGTTTCGCAAATATCTCACCATCATTGTGGTTGTATAGCATATAATACCTTGCCATAAAAAAACAGGCAGTAAATAAGAAGTTTAACTTATTGAAATGTCGCAAGAGTGCAACAGATCGCTCTCTCTCACTTCCATCCCTGGACAGCGAGGTCGTCCCTACTCAGCGCATAACGATTCTTCTCGAGCTACACAAAAATTTCACAATGATGATATCACTGTTCTAACAGCGATATTAACATCGACGTAAAGAGAGGGATGGATTCGACAAGGCGATACCATCTCGTTAACTATTTACCGTCAGCTACGCGAAAACCATGCGAAAATTGGAGTGGGATAATGTGAGAATAAAAGTGTATGGTCGGCAACAACATTTCTCTCTGCTGACGATATCGCCCTTATAACAGGAGCGTTAGCCAAGCGGGATGAACAATAGCCTACTTCGATAACTCTTGAGGAAAAATTGCTCATCGATTAAATGTCACAGAAACGATGTTCACGAGGAAGGGATTTGTTTCGTATACCCCATTCAAGTTCAACGGAGCGAATATCTCCGAATGCTCCAGCTGCGTCTATTTCGGTTGGCAACTCACCACGATGAACAACTTGGCTCTATAGTTGAGCAGGAGGAAAACAGCAGCTTGGGGAACTTTCAAAAACATCGATGGTGCTGTTAGGAGAACATGGAACACTCCACTCCGTTCTCATTCTTTCGAGTTCACAATTCCTTCTACCTGAACGTATGCGTCATAAACCTGGTAACTACTACTCAAGTAGGATGGAAGACCACTTCGTACCACCGAAGACGCAGTCGAGGCGCTGGGAGTATCCCGAATCACGCAAATTAGAGAAGAAATGCGATGTTCCGATTTACGATAACGACTAAAAATCAAAGATGCCCTTCTATAAGCCAAATTATCGGAAATAAGGTGGATCAGCGACATTGCGCGTATGATCGACAATCCATGGACAAGAGCTGCGATCGACTGCTCTTCCTGGTGATGTCAAACGCACACCATCAAGAGCATCGACCCAATTGACACAGTTCTTTAAGAAGGAAAATATGGCGCTCAGTGAGACCCTAGAGCAATCGGCGTCCAATTAGTTACTGTTATACGCGATAGAGAGAATTGGAAAATTTACCGGCGTCTGGTCAAGTCACTCGACGATTTACAGGACTATAGGTGATAGGTGGCTTTAAGATCTTTCATTAAGGCGTGGGTAGCTCAGTGTTAATCGTGATGAAGATCATGAGTACGGTGCTGGTACCTGTAGATGATTCACCAAGCCTCCCATCCCTGCTGGTTTGAGCAGTTGGTACCTGACTTGTCTGAGTCTAGCTCACTCCCTTCAATCCGCTCTAGCTCGGCTATCATAGGAATACAGGGACATTAGAATGGACAAGAATTCAACGACATCCACAAAAAAGACGAAACTCCTCAAACAGCAGGATACAGTTGCGAGAAACTCAAAAATCTTTGTGGATAATGAATGGTAAAAGATAAGCCACATGCAAAAGTGTTGGGATCCAGACAACAGTTGTGAAGAAGGGTCAAGTAAAAAAATATAAAGAGAAACGTCCCGCAACAAAGGCAACTCGGATGTATTGTATCGAAAGATCTATATGAGTGTTAATGTTGAAAAAAGTGCATGGATGTTCACCATCATGTTTACCTCCTCACAGAATAGCAGAAGTTTACACTCTAAAACCTACTCAATATGACTGCAACAACCAAAGAATCGTTCGTCATTTTAAAGTCATTGAAAGAGCTAAAAACCTCAACAAATTGGTTCCACGCGAAGTTAACCAAGACTAAAGGGAATGTCGTTATGAAGGTTAAACAACACGCTTTCCACATGTGTCAAAACCACCCAAATCTTGAGCGTACTGCGGTGTGTGGTGGAAAAACAAGATCCATTCAGTACTTCACCAGATGAGGCTAGCCGTTATGGTGCTGGACTAAACACTTTATAAAGCCTAACTTAAACAAGAAAATTATGATGTGCGCCTGGTGGTCGCCAGCCTGATTAATCCACCACCAAAGCGTTTTGAATGTTGGCAGAACGATCACAGTAGAAAAGTACTGTCAAGGAAACCATGAAGAGTATCAGGAATTGTAGAGTACGATACTGAATTCGACAACGGCAAAGCTTCAATACACTTGAATGACAATGTTCGACTATATATTGCAATACAAATGCTTCAGAAGAAAAAAGAATTGCACACATCCATTTCTAAAAAATTTTTAAGAGGCAAATAGCTGCCGAAAAACCCAAAAAATTCGTCACTTCAAGGACTTCAGAGTCTTACGCAACTTAAACCAAACAAAAAAATCAGTAAATCTTTCTGAAAAAATGTGTGAATTTTAATCGTTCATGTTTTGACTGATAACACCGTGTTCACCAAATCCCAACACGGTTTGTAAATAAAGTACCAAAAGGGTAGTACCTGATGACAACGTAAATTCCTGCAAAATCGAAAATTCGCTAGTTCAATGGAAGAAAGCAAATGAAACTATTTCGAAAAATGAAGAGTTCAAGAAGAAATTAAAGTCCTGCTAAGTAAGAAGCAGATAGAACAGTTACTCAAAAGCGTTTCAGAACCAGAATGAACTTCGTTAATAGAAGGTGATGATAATATTACAATATTTTCAATTTTAATCAAATATAGCACGAAAAACTTGGATGATCAAGAAAGGTGGTTAAAAACCATAACTGCTTTTTTTCAACGTACCGGAGGGCTGGGTTCTTCTTGTCTCTAAGATTGAACACACGACTACGAAGGGCAGCTTTGTACTTGTCCCCAGTGCCTTTATGAACCTAAGGAAAGAAAGCAGTTCAAGCACAAAGGGATTTCCATCTGTAACGAATATGAGCGTAAGAATTCGAGAAACAAAAATGGATCAGTGGCCCAAATACGCAAACTAGTAGCTGGTACTCCCATTCCTCCTTTTTCTCACTGATAAGCAATTACGATGTTAACAGATTGCAGTTTCAAAAACACAACTTGTTAAACAATTTTTCAACAAAAGTAGCCACTTGCTGTTAGGACTAAGCAAGAAATGAAACGCAACTACTGCTGATACGTATTGTTTTTCTGCCTAGTAACTTGGATGGCTCGTCTTCACTTGTGGTGCGAGCCCCAGCAAAAGTTCCATTTTTTCGGTGTTCTACTGGCTTAGCTATTGTGATTCCCTGGAGTCCCCAGGTCAGCCTAGCCAAAGTCTGCCCCCCGTCGTTACCACCAAAGGCAGTCGCCGCCTTTGTGGATCGGAGAGAGATTCGCCACCATGCGACTAGTTTGACACCAGGACGGTGGTGGATCGTGGTATTGCTTTACTCTTAGCCGGACTTCCTAACGGAAACGGCGAACTCCTTAGCTTAGGAGATCTTGCTGGAGGATGTATGCCCTCGCTGTATATCGTAGTCCGACACCCAAGAACACCTCACACCTACAATCAGGGGATAAACCGTTGGCAGGTGTTTTTCTACTATATCACCCAAATATAGACTGCAAACCATCTGACGAATGTATATTTTTTGGAGTGTAACATTTCGTAAGAACGACTAGACAGAAGTAGAGCTAAGACTTTATTATGTGCAGTTAATTGGCATCTGTATCAAATTCCTATCAAAACTAGGGCTAAAACGTACGCTGAAAATTCTTTCCTCCACTTTGATCGCAATTTCCTCAGGATCGAGAGTACCGTCTGGAAGGTCAGCATGCCTGAGCGCAGTTAGAATCATTTGAACAGACTTCAACCTCACCTGGAGAATTTCAAAACTCGTGTTTAAAGAGAAGATGAGCTAATAAATCGAGAGAGGAAACTACCGATGGTTTGAAGCACACCGAATACCTCATCATTTTCGAGATGTTTTGGAGGGAAGCTGCTTGAATAAGCTTGGTTGGAGACAGATGAAGCCGGTTTTGAGAGCTGTTGATTCGAAGATGGCTTATTATTTTTCGCTGAAGAATTTGATGTTGGTTCGCACTTCGGCGTCTGAAAGAAATTTTCCCAGACTTACACCACTGAAACTTCTGAGAGCGACATAGGAAAAGTTACTATTCTGTTGATGAACTGGTTCAGTTATATCAATAGAACTTCTAGACTTTTCAACCAACTCCGAATAAACTGTTCCTGAACTCTCCTAAAGTTTCTTTAGGTTATGGTTCCTCTAACAAAAAAGTTCTGACATAAAGAATAGTCTAATGAACTGCCAAGAGAAATGGTCTTTCTAAGTAAATCCAGGACTGGATTTAAAATATATACTTGCAATACACTACTGTACCTTAACCCCTTAAAGAAAATGGCTTAAAATGAAAGCAATTAATGCCAAGTACGACTTAACCACCTTTTTAACACAGGACTTTGTATATTCCTGCGAAATAAAAGTAGCCCCTCATTATATAAAGCAGCAGTACTACTTGGATAATTGGACATTTGGACAGTCCGTCTTCATTAGTTGTGCGGGTCCCAGAATAATCTCCACTGTACGGTTTCTCCGGAGTCCCTATGTCAGCCTGGCAAAAGCCTACCCCAAGTCTTCACCACCACAGGCAGTCGCCGCCGTTGTGGATCAGAGGGAGATATGCCACCATGCAAAAGGAACCAGCAGTACTGCGAACATAAAAAACAAAACCAACTTTAACTTTCAACTTCTTTAAGAGCTAACTTTTTCTTTCTTCTCCTCCCTCTTGTCTACCAAATTTTTCCACTCTTTGATTAGGTTCTTGGCTTTCTTCGCTAGTTTCTCATCAGATGTCTTCTTCCGCAGGTCATTGATGGTCATTCCAATGCGAGTCTTCTGAAATTCAAATATAGGAGAGTCAAGAGTATTACAGCAATATCCAAACATATCCTTCAATGCTCAGAACTTACAGTTAAAACATCGATGGTGATCGGTAGCTTAGAAAGGACATCCAGAAGATCGGCAGCACTTTCGCCCTACGAAAGACAGTCGATACAACTGGTAAAGAACTCCGTTCTCACATGGAATCATACGAACAAACTCAGAAAATTATAGGATCTTCGACTTACTGATTTCGAGCCGTCTACGATTTTGTCCAGTTTTCTTCCGATCGCTAACACCTCATCCTCACAAGTGAGCATGACAGAATTTCAGTCGAATAACTATGCACTCACCTCTACAAAAGGCAACTTCACCGCAAAAAAATCAGCCGAAAGTGGTTCAAAAATATGAAGACCAACATAGAAACGAATCCTCAAACGCTACAGGAAAAAGAGAAAATGAGCCTGATAAAACGCCCACATGGGAGACGCGCGAAACTCGTCCGCATCCTCCTCGTGGGTCACGTCCGTCCCAATACCACACCTCGCTTCGTCGAAGACGACGTTGTCCAGGCGAAGTTTACTACAGGAAATCTTAACTGTTTGAGAATAATGCAATGCAAAGTGTACTGCTCTTCCAGGAGTCCAATCGGGGACATTCTATGAAGATGTGAGGATCCTGAAGTGCAGTGCTCTTTATCATCGATGGACGTTGAACGGAATCGTCTTCATTGGGTGTGGTCTTCTTCGCAATGCTGTCTTCAAAGTCATCCACCTTACACCTGGTCTGCCTCGTCCATAGCTTGGCTCAAAACGGGCGTATCGAAGCGTCCGACGGACGAGTTCTCGCGACTTCACGATTGAAAACTGTCTTCTTGGTGGGTTTGCTGGTTGGTTAATTTTAAGGCTTGGTGGATCCTAGGTGAAGTCCGGGGATCTTTCGCGTTCTAGTGACAGCGTTGACGTATGTCCTGCCTCTTCAGTGAAGTACTCTCTCGATCTCACGTCCAGCTTCACGGTCCTGTGGTTGCACAGTGGCCTCAGTCGTTCCACTATGCCACCCTGGGGGTTGCAGAAGTGTAGCTGACGTTTGGTCTCTACGTAGAGTAATGGCTGCTGGAGATCAACATATCCTTTGATTCACTTAGATAAAGCTTAACCTGGGATACAAAGCAGCGTATTTGTGTTCTCCTTGAACATCCAGTTTCGCTCCCTACTTCGTTAATTTCACTCTTTTCTCAGAATGCTTTGTGTTTTTCGAGCTAATTGTCGTCGTTGTTCTACTGCGTCCTGTTGAATAAGCTGTACTTCAAAATCTTCAGCCGTTTTGCTTTTGTGAGCGATGTGGTCTCCGTAGTATCACTTCGCTTTCCTATCGACGTATCCCTCATGAGATAAGTCAGTCGCCCTTTCCCATCAATCTGGTCACTGTCATCTGCTTTGCTAGAAATCAGCTGAAGCTTGTTCCTACTAACGGACTTTCTCTTGACCTAAAAGTCGCTTTATTAGTTAAATGCTTAAGTAAAATGATAGATGGTAGTTCAAGCCGCTTGTTTTGCTAGCAGAAAGTCTGCAGCAAAGCGACTGTTTGATAGATGCCTATATGATAGAACCACTGATCTTGAAGTGTTTTTATGGAAATGATGTGCTCAAACTGTTTCTTGGCCGTGGAGAGGAATTCATCTGTCTTGTTCTTAGATATGAGCTGTACTAGCTACTTTCTGCTTCCATCAGTCTGATCAAAACTGTGTTGGCGATCTCGTTCTGCTCAAGTGATGTTCTGTTTGTCCATAACGTCGTAGAAGTGGAAGGGCATGGGGTGGCTCTCTAGATTTCTCCACTTTTCGGAGATCTTAACTGCGTTGAGTTCCTCACCGAGTGAATAGCAGTCGTGCGCTCGAGAGCGGCACCAGCTTCTTATTGGTTGCGTAGAATCCTCTCCTAATCTCCGAAATGTCACTTGATCTCTTCCATCGCTCTGCCACTTCGCCCGCTCCTCTTTTTGTTGGAATAGTCCATTCGAAGACCCAACGTAAAAACGAATTCTAAAGGCTTATTTCTGCGTCGTTATGGAACCAGACGTATGCTTCTGTCGAAAGTGGGCGTCTGAATGAGAGCCGATAATCTCAAATAGATCACGTGACCCGATTTCTCACTTTTCCCTTGGCAATCATCCTTCTCGTCGCCTAAAATTGCTCTATTTATATCGCGTTAGGCTATCCAACTTTTCTCTTATTGCTCATTTCCAATATCTACGAAGTGTTCTGGTCTGAAGTCACGTTTGTGTTCCACAATTATCAGGGGAATGATTATCCACAACCATTTCGAATGCTGGCGCTAAAAATTCTGTAACTTTGTATTCTTTCTTTGATAAGCTTACACGAAGTTGATAAATAGTCTTTATTTTCGGCTAACGTTTCGACGTCTCGATGTGGCATCTTCGTCTTTATGTCGAGTCGGTTTTTCCTCAGTGGGGCGTCTCTCGAATGAGCTGTCCTCACCCTAACTTTAATCTCTGTGACTTTAGAGTCCTCTCGCTTCCTATTTGATTTCCTCTGCCGTAGATTTCAACTTGCAGTTTCGGTTCGATTATAGAAGCATCACTATGCTTTTCCAGCATACCAGCATATGGTCGTAACATCAGACAATTCGGAATCGTCGAGCTCGAGTGACGGAAAAGGTAAGTCCAATTTGCTTTTGACACTATTGGCATTAGCTCTTATATCGCCTATAAAACACGGCTGAGAGAAAGGCGAAACGAAGGTCACGCACGGTGTGGTGGTGAATAAGTTAGCCCCTGAAAGGGTAGTAACGACGTTCGATCTCCGCCGCAGACAGCTGCGGTCCGGAATTCTGCTAATATCTCAGCATCATTGTACTTGCTCTAACAGTTTGTGGTTAGGAAGCTCTCCATCTTCTCCCGGGCTGCAGCTGATTCCGTCGAATTGCGGTCTTCCCGGTGGTGACATGCAGTCTGGGCGAACCTGCGCTCCAGACATCGACTCAAGTATGAGCTCTGCAAACGCTTCAACGAGTGAAAGTAAGATCTTTAATGTTACACCTTGCGCACAGGTAACATAGAATACTACCAAAAGAAGTGCATTAACTACATCCCGAAGGACAAGAGTTATTCAGGAAACAGTAAACAATTGTTCTTCACAGCAAGTCACATTGAAATCGTATGATAGAGAAGTGAAACACTGTAAGATCGAGTCAGTCGGAAAACTCTATGGTAGGTGTGTCTGTGAGAAGCAACCTCACGGAATCAACTGCGGTGGTCGCACTTCGAAACATTTAGCAATCTCCTGCATAAGCATCCATATATCCATCGGAACAAAACGTATCGGATGTAGACTTCATTTCTTCATCTTCAACAAGGTGGATCGGATGCGACCACTGTGGTTGATTCTGCGGGCTGGCTTCTCACAGACGACAAATGGTGTTTTAAGGCAGATCTCGTTTTTATAGAGTAGCCATGGTAGGTATTCATCTCGGAAACTAAGATGATCAATATGGGTTCTTCATGTTTTTATACTGACCGAATTCACTTGGTTAGTCTGTAAGTACTTTCAATGGTTTACTGTCCAACGTTTATGAACTGCATTCTTGGGATAAAATATCAACTCTTAACTGGTGTCGAACTTCCTGTCTTTAAGGTTTTGAAAAATACCTGTTCCATAACAATTTTCGCTTGTTTCTTCGCTGAATTCTCTCTCGTTTATCTTCTTGTGGTACAACTATTCATTTGCTTATTTCTATACAACATATACGTTTTCAACGTGACTTGTTGTGAAGAACATTTCTTTATTGCTTTGTGAATAATACAGGTTTTTTGGAGTGTAAGTAATCTATCTTTTTGGGTAATATCTTTAATCATAGCTTATGCCTAAAGGCTTTGAATAATTTTGAGATAGACTATCGTTTCCATTTTGGCTGGTCGCCTGGACGCTTCACATTTGAGTGATGATGTCGGTACTCCTCACGATGACCTATCTGCCAGGGTTCCACTGGATGAAAACGACCACAAGTACGTGGGGCTTATCAACCAGGTCTGTTGACAAAGAAAATAGTTGTTACCGAAACTCTTGTTTTTAGCATTGCCTTGAAAATAATGTACAAGAGCAAAAGTTTAGCCTTTTATCCTAATATGAGATAAGATTCTGTCTCTGCATTGTATATATATATATATATATATATATACATATGGATATATATATACACGTGCATGCATATGTAATGTACATGTACATACGTATATATATATATATATATAAGTATACATACGTACATAAACATATATACGTACTTATAATCACGTGCCAACGCTTTACCGCCTCATCGTAGTTGGGAGGTTTTTCTGGATGTCGGGCTGTGACGTACAGCGGGAGTTCATCCCCCAGCAGGGTCTCCCAAGCTGAGGATGAGTCTGGCGTCTCCATCAGGAAGCCCAGCGTAAACCAATAGCAGGATCCACCACAGTCCTGGTGTTAAACTAGTTGCATGGCGGCAAATTCACATGTGATCAACAAGAGCGGCAACTGCCCGTTGTGGTGACGACCGGGGACAGGCTTTGGTTAGGCTGGCTCTGGGGCTCCAAGGAACCACGGTAGCTCAACGAACAACACTCCGAAAAATAGAAATTGTGCTCGAGTCTGCACAATCAATGAAGACGGGCCATCCAGGAAAGGAAGTAGAAGCAGTAACTATGGTGAAAAATCAATGGTTCAAACTGTGCAAAAACTATGAGAGCAGGTGGAATATTTTCCATTTAAATGTTCACTCGGGGCGTATAGAAACATTCTTTGAGTCGCCGATTGACTTCAGATTCTGCACAGATTGGTTGCTAGAGTTGTTCTATACTTTTCAATTCAGGCGATGACGTGCTACCTCAATAGCCTGGTGCAATCACTGTATATGACTCCAGAGTTTAGGAATGCGATTTATAAGTGAGGAGATTTTTCTAAAGGAAACGTTTCGCTATGATCTTGCGATGTTTTTAGTTGGGAATATCATGGCAGCGGAAAGTTCGGTAACATTGCTGAACGGGAAACACGAAGCATTCCTTATCAAATACAAAAGCTGTTTTTACTCTTGCAAACAAGTGAGCTGGGTTCACTTGAAACCAGAGATCTAACGGCTAGCTTTGGGTGGTCCAATAACGAAGGTGATTGGTTTTTTTGGGTATGATTTGTTGATTTCTTTTCTACAAAGTATGGTTATCCATAACTAGTATTCTTTCTGCAGGTAGGCTTTATGTTTACAAATAAAGCTTGAATTCTAGCGTACGACCAGCACGACGTGCAGGAATTATGTCGGCTTATGTTTGATGCTTTAGAGCTGAAGTGGAGAGGCACTCAAAATGAGAAACTCATAGAAAATTTGTATAGGTATGCTACATCCGTATAGACATGTATATGCATTAGTACATATATACATTTATATATGTATATAAAAGATAAAACTCTTGTCGGTGAACAATCCCTGAGGGATGCACCATGCATTGAACTTCATTAAGCATCGTTTGGAGGTGATTGAATGCATTTCTAGTCTTTATAATGGCTCACAGTGACCTACCAATATATCGAGCCAGTGCTGCTATCCTCCCAGACATGTCTGGTACCAATTTGCCGATCCCGGAGGAATAGAAGACTCGGTGGTCAAGACGCGAGGGATCGCTCCCATGTGTGTTGCAGGGCGCCTCCAACGACTGCGACATACGCGCCCATATATGTTATATATATTTGTATACTTAAGTTTTATTGTCAGCCCTTTCTTGATTGGTTAATAGTTTTAGAGGGAAGATGCAGGATTTTGTGAAATGCTTCAAATGTGGTCGGGAGAATGTGCGACCAGATGTGTTCCTCGATCTACCTCTTGCCGTAAAGCCTTTCGGAGCAATGGAAGCTTTTCGCAGCGTTGTATGTCATAGAAGGCCTCCATATTTCTGTTTTTGTTACTTTTATTTTACCTTTATTTTGTATGATGTTCCACTTGTGTACAAACAAATCTGGAAGTCTTATGCTTTTTGAATGGTTCATTTTAGGAGGAGGCTCTTCAAGCTTTCATAACTCCTGAGCTTCTAGATGGAAGCAATCAATATTTTTGTGAGAATTGCAATTCGAAAGAGGATGCTCACAAGGTTGCTTTAGTATAAAAATTGTAGGTGTTAATAGCTACTATTCTTTTCTTACTCTTTAGGGTTTGCGTGTTACGGAATTTCCTTATCTCCTCACCATCCAACTGAAGCGTTTCGATTTTGATTATAATACAATGCACAGGATAAAGCTAAATGATAGGTATGTTGTTATTTGCCCACGGTAGTGTGTACTGAATGTTTATCTTAGGGTGACGTTCCCAGATGTTTTGGATTTGAACCCATTTGTTTATTCACCGAATACGGACGCAGTTGACGTTGACAGAGACAAGCCGCTGTCGTCTGCAATGAATCCAGGTCGCTTTATTTTATCTGTACAACTTGACTAACGCTGAACCTCCGTTCACAGACGTTTATGCGGAAGGGCTTGGTGACATCCTAGTCTGGAAGCAAGGGAATTTACTGTATAATGGTTGAATTGTTAGAGGATTTGTTCAGAAGTAGTTATGGCTGGACAGCAGATAGATCGTGCTCTAGTGAATCAGCTATTGAAACGAGGGGAGTACGTCTACGAACTGTTTTCGGTAATGGTCCATCAGGGAAGCGCCGCAGGAGGGCATTATTTCGCGCACATCAAGTTGGTTCTTCTTCCTTTCAATTGTTGGCATTTCACAAGTATTTTTAAATGTCTCGTATTAAACAGTATAGCATTTCAGAAGTTTTTTCTTTATTATTTTCCATTAACGTCGATTCTTAATGACTTTAACTATTAAAACCATTTGGTGTTACTTATGCACTACCGCTTCAGAAATATGGATCAAGGTCAATGGTATTGTTTCAACGACACTCGTGTTGAGTCAGTGAGTCCCGAAGAAATTTCAAAAAGCTTCGGTGGCTCGTATGGCGGTTGGTCTACAAGTAATACGAATGCGTACATGCTTATGTATAGAAAGGTACTATTTAATCGTAAAGTTTTGACCAATAACGAAATAGAGAATGTGCAGAATGATGTTGCAGATAAGTAAAGCAAACGCAACGTTTATTCGAACGTCGGATTTGCCCACACATATCATCGAGCTGAAGACACAATGGAAAGAGCAAGAAGCTGAACGCGAAAAACAGAGATTATACCAGTTGAATCTCGTTAATGTGGGTTCGGTGACATCTAGAGTATGTCCTCGATTACGTATGGACTGGCGATAAATCCCGTCTTTCAGATCGTCGTGAAATTAAATATGGTCAGCGACAATGATGCACTGCTCAATGAGCCTTATGTGGTGGATTTGCCTCGAACACATGCCCTACATGATATTTATGTTAAAGTAAGGTGCTTTAATAATGCTGCGCTCATTGAATGTATTCGGAAACAGCGGATTTTTCAGTCGTTGAGGTTTTTCGAAGAGAGGTTCCGTTCATTGCCAACATTTGATGACAGTTTTCTCAATATCCGTCGTCGTAGTCGTCTTATTCGTGTCACGAGTAATCGGGGTCTTACTATTAATGAAGCATACGTGTCCAAGGCCGACCTTGCAAAGGTATTCTGCTCTTTAGATTGCCGTTTTATCAAATACTATAGCGTGAGGAATGGTTGGTGCTTCAGAAGATTGAATTTCTTCTGACACCAGGACGTCCCAACAGTCTGATGTTTTTGCTCGATATTTGGCGGTCGAAAGGTTTGATTTGTATTACTAGAACTGTTTGGTAAATTTTCTCACGTATCTCAGCTTCCATTTTTGAATTCCTTTGGTGACAGAGAAGAAAGATGTATTTCTCACTAAACAGTTCTGTCCTCCATGTCATCTACGTGGAGAGCAGTACAGGTCCGAAATTTTTAGGCATCCCGTATCCCGTTTTCCCACCAAACGGTCGGACAATTCGTGTTTCACGTGTCGACATTGCGGCTCGCCTGATAGATCCACTTTTCCACATATACGTCAACCCAGAGCTCCATACAGTGGGAAAATCTTTTCCGCGCCGCATTTTTACATTATCTTTGTCGAGATGGAAATTATCTCTCAGGTAATTCAAGTGAAACAGTTGATTGCTTCAATGTTCGGTGATGATCAGCGGGCCGTTGTTGTTTCGCGACTAATATTGGAGCGTGATACACAAACGAACGGATTGCTATCACTCGACTCTCCAACAGCGAATTTCAACGATTTACTTCAACAGTGCTTTTCAAGAGTACCTTTGGTAAGATGCTGTTATTTGTGTTCTCTCAAGTTGGGAATGGTAAGTCGTATATGGATTTCATGATGAGGATATGAGGAAAAATTATGGCATAGAATAAGTCTGCTGCGAAGCTCTGTCTTGAATTCCATTTCATTACAGGTATATTGCGACTGTGGATCAAAAGGAGAATCTCTGATTGCTGTCGAAGAAGATCGGATGAGACCATTAAACGAAAGTATAATGTTTGCCGTACTGGATCGGAAGAAATTCGGACAACTTGTACTAGTAGAATTGCCACCACAAGGTTAAAGCGAAGCCATGTCCTATGTTTTTGAAAGACTGGATAGCTAGATGATCATTAATGATTGGCTTCCGATCCTCTCCTCATAATTTCACATTCTAGAGGAAATTACGCGCGCTCAGTCATTGAGCGTTGGATATCTGAAATCTACTCGGACGGATGAAATAAGCAAACAAGTATTGGTAAGTTATAGTAAAGTAGTTACGATGTATACAGTTCTCAAGTAATTGGTTAAAACATATCGAATTTGAAGAATTTCTTGTAGCTGTAATTAACCTATTTGGTCTTTTTGGTGGTTCATGTGCCATATAGATTTGGTCCTTATGTGTTTACTGGACATTTACATTAGTTATTAATAGCTGTTTTCCGTGATTGACTGCTGGTTTTATAGCTGAAGAGTTGTGCTTCGTCATCGACTACGCCTTACGCTGTTGCTTCGTCAGGTGATGTGAGCCGATCTTCTTCTCAGGAAAGTAACGTCACCACAGGAGGGAATATCAGCGAAATAGACGATGGGTGCTGTCGGAGCACACCACAGGTGGTTGATTTTATCACCTAGGTTAGTAGCTTAAGAAGTGAGTTTTACTAGGCACAATTCTCCTACTAATATCAGGTCTTCTGCATATAAGCGAAATAGTAACTCTGAGGGATTGATGTTCTAAGCAATGATTCAAAGTTTTAGATGTCGCCAAACGTTTCTGATGTTGAAGAGATGGTCGACGGCTCGTATTTAGTGGTTAGTGTGCCTATTAGTTTTATTGAAGTCGCATTATAACAGGGCAAATTGAGAGGTCACTCTGGATATACGGTGAATTTTCGTCTAACATAAAGAACTTCTATGAGACAAAATGTGCATTAGGTGATAAGAGGGCATTTCATTGCATTGCCGATTTTATGAGTTCAAATTGAGAAAGGGCCATGTGTTTGTTCGAGTTTTCGTCAGTGCTTGAGCACTGTTGTGCATGGATTTCAGGATCCACGCTATTTTTACTAACATCATGAGCTGTAGTCCAGTTTTACTAAATAAATGGAACGTTAGTATATATCTAGTTTTAAAATTGACACCTCAAAAAGGTTTAGGAGAAATAGATCCAGTTGTAAATAGGTGTGAAGAAACAACGCCATTACAATTAGAAAACGTCGTTACAGTACTTCACATTTAGTTTCTTGTTGAGAAATTTGTCATGTTGAATGGCATTTGGAATTTCCTGCAGTTTGTTACGCCTTGTTACGCGAACCAAATTCAGCGCTCTCTTACTACGTCGAGAAATCTGGTACAAGAGAAGTTGGAACCTCACATGCGAGAGCGATGTATAACCGAGTCGTACGAGAGAACGGCAGTTCCGTCTGCATTCACTTGCACTAATGAATTTGCTCATGATGTTATCGAGCTATCAGGCGTACTAGAAAATCGTTAGTGATTGCTTTTACTGAGAAACTTAAGTGTTCTATGGTCTCGACTACTTTTTTTCTCAGTTTTGCAGCTAGACGTTGACTCTCGACTACCATTTGGAAAGTTTAAAGCGTGGCTAGGGCAGAAACTAAGCATCGATCCAGCACAGTTTGTTGTTGTGAAACACTACAAAGTGGATTGTATCATTTTTTGCAATAGATTTTAATTCGTTCTGATTTTTGAAAAACTTATAAAATCATTAATTCGGCTAATTGTTCTCATTTAAAGCTAAATCTTAATTTAATTTGTTCTTGAAGGAAGATGATAAAGGTTACGAGTGTAACAGCAAAGACGACGAAAACGTGAGAAGCGCCTTCGATAATGTGTTTAAGGTACGTTCGTGATCGCTCTGCTTTCGTACTTACAGAATTGAGTGGTTTTAGATCGGCATAAAATTGAGACCGCCTCTGAGAGAGGATGAGAAACTCATTCGTATTGTGCAGTTCGATTTGGAGGAGCTAAATGTTAGTTTCTGTTGCATTTGCGCCTTATTGTTGTGGAATTTTTGTGGATAGTTTTTAACACTGATGCTTATTCAGCGAGAAAATTGGAAAGTTCTTTTCGAATGTGCGGCTTCAAAGGAAACCACTGTTAGAGATTTGATGTTGCAATGTATACACCTTTACGCTGGAACATATGGTCAACAGCTGCAGTTCAATCAGTCAGTTGATTAGATTCCTTTGATTCCGCAGAGAGTAGGAGGGATTTCTTTCCGTTTAGGATTCGTCTCCGAGAAATGCCTTCGCTAAATCATCCCATGAAGGCCGTTTTAGATCCCGCTGACACTCTCGACTGTCGTGGCGCTCAGTGGTCGAACAACATCTATTTCCAAATAATAACAGGTACTGCATACAAGTAATAACGGGTGTGTACTGAAGCTTATGGTCAACAGCTGGAGTTTAATCAACTAGTTGATTAGATTCTCTTGATTCTTCTGATTTATGCCCCGATGCACGATCTCCATTGTGACTGTTTAACAGGGTTCCGTGATTTTTGAGTCAGAGGCATATCCACTTTTACTTACTTTGTTACTTGTACAGCCCATTATCACTAGTTATGCATGCCCTAGCATAATCTCCATTTTTCGGAGCATTGCTGGTTTAGTCATTGTGTTTCTCTGGAGTCCCGTGGGCAGCTCCGCACAAGTCTGCCCTAGGTAGTCACCACCACAGGCAGTGGCAACCCTTGTGGATCAGAGGGTGGTTTGCCACCATGCGACTAGTCTGATGCCAGGACGGTGGTGAATCTTAGTATTGGTTTACCCTCAGCTGGGCTTTCTGATGCAAACACTGGACTTCTCAGCTTGGGCGACCCTGCGGGTATGTATCCCTCCGCTGTGCATCGCAGTCCAACTCCCAGGAACACCTCCCAGCCACGATGAGACAGTAGGTAGTTGGGAAGCCTATACACTTTTTGGTCGTATAATAAATATAATTGATGTTAACTCTTCTCCTCCTGTTAAGAGCAACTTCTTCTCCATTGTTTTACTGAGGCTTTCGAAGTTATAAGTTAATCTACACTGTCACAATTAATTGACATCACAAATTCCTTGATCTCATCACATTTTCCGTGACTTCACTGTTTGATAGAATTTCGTAACGAAATGATCAGGAAAAGAAAAGTCAGTTTTGAAATTTATGAGTAGAACTGACTGCTTTAAATAATTAGATGCAATGTTCTTAATAAGTTGACATGAGGTTGTTAACTTGTTGATTACTGGAGAGGTTAAGAACCGCTGAACAATGCACTATTTTAAAAGTTTACGCTTTTTTTCCTTTGTATTATTATTAGTCATTATGACGCTATTATTGTTATTACTATTACTTACAACTGTTTGTTATTTTCTATTCCTATTGTTCTTATAATGGGCACATGTAGCCCAGTGGTCAGAGGCGCTTTGCATTACACTTGGGACCAATCCCCGCTCCCCAGGATCACCAAGCCTTGCATTACTCCGGGGTTGCAGATTGGTAGCAGATTTGTCTGGGAGGATGTCTGGGAGCAGTGGCTGGATACATCGGTAGGCCACTAAAAGTCATTATAAAGGCCAGATATTCATTCAATAATCTCCAACGATGCTTAGTGAATTAGAATGCAAGGCGCGTCTCTCAAGGATTGGTCAACGCCAAGAGCTTTATTCTTTTACCTTTTTTTAATTTTTGTTATGGCATTTATTTTTATTCCTATTGCTATTAGTGTATAGTTTATTACTGCTGCTATTTATTTCTATAGCTAAAATTGTGTACATGCGTTTATCGCACATTCTTAATTGTGGTGATTGATATAAATAACATTATCCTTAGTGATGGCTAGTGTCTAATATTTTTGTTTAAAGACGAACACCTTATCGGCGCGCCAGGTGTGCCTGTGTTAGTGCGTCGATTCCGACCATCGACCGTAGAAGTGTCTAATATACAGGAAGTTCTTGTTGATCCAGACGCTACCAGTCAAATGGAATCACTCGCTTATGGCGTTTCATCGCTTTCGGGTATTCCTGTAGAAAGGCTCGCTTTCACTGAGGTTCGTAACTTTGGATCTCGTTGTGGCTTGTTCACTACCCTTTCCATTTTATTTTAAAGATTGGCAGTTCTTGGGAGAAATGGCCGTTTGCATTGAGTCGGCTTGCGATGCTGGATGGTTCTGTAAAATTCTTCGAACATCCGTCTTATGCACCTAATGACGTCATCGATCGTGTTGGGGGGAGAGTGATATATTACCGGTATGCATGCCTTTTTATTTTGAAAGTCATTATACTGAATCTCCTTCATCTTTCGCGTTTTGAGGGATATTGCCGAAGTTCCAAAGCAGTTGTCAATTGAGGATCGCAAGCAGATCCAAATCAAGGAACATGGACAGAGTATGTCCGCTGTGGCTCGTCGCAGAGAGCGACCACTGCGGATTCAAATGAGTAGCATAAGTGAACCCTAACAGGGATTGGATTTGAAGCTAATAGTAACTCCCATTTATCCTATTTAAATGGTACCATTGTTTGATGACTCAGATAGGAGAAGTGTTTCAAGGCTTCATGAAGATACCTAGGGTTTTTGCTGTTCCATAGATCTTTCTTTAATTTCCTGCTGCTTTTGCATAACTATTCATTTATCGCCTTCAATATGACAGGTTGTTAGCACACGTTTAGAGAAACTCATTTTGTCGACGCTTACCGCATAACGTAAATGGACTTATACGTGGGGTATAAATTGATGGGTGTACGTTCAGTCCATTTCATCCCATGAGGAGCTAAAAATCAGGTGTGGGATCCTAAGTGTTTCCAGGTGATAGTGCTTGTTCATTTCGTGTTTTGCTCACGGTTTATTTCAACGTATTCGCCATACTATTTTTAGAGCTTGCCTTGATGAAAGAATTCACATGCTTCGTGGTATATTTTGTTTGATCTTTTTCAGCTGTCAATAGTTTCTGTTGACAATAGCCGACTCTTTTAGGCAAATCCAGCTTTGGATTTGGCGTAGATCATTCGAAAGTCTGTTTTCTTCTCCTTTTGTTTCGAGTGTAATTTCGGACAGGTGTGAATTGTTGTGCTAGTTTACAAATGTATTTCGACCAGTTGTTTGTATAGCTATTGTATAGGAGGAGATGTATTGCAGTCAAAATTACAATCGACCGAGATTGGTGGCTTAGATGTCGTGTTACATCTACTTGTTGTATTATTTTTTCGTGGAGATTTTTGCTGAAATGAAGCTTTCATATCTCATTCAGAACGTCTCTTCCGCGTGGTGTTCCATCTTCCAATTTACTTAGTTGAATACTTGGATCGCCGTTGCGGTACAAAGGGCGGCATTTCATTTGATCGCAACCTTCTTCGCTCGAGGTGATAACCTTCCTTCACGGAAACATTGGCCGGTGTCATCCCATGATCCATAAGTCTTGCGGAAATATCAGTGCTGGCGTTTGATTCATTGTCCCATAATGTTTATACACATATATATATATATATATATATAAACATATACATATATATATGTTTATACACTTGCATATTTAAAAAATAGAAGTATGTGTTATATACGCCATATTATATTGTATTATGCTCTTTGCTAGCTGGTAGTGATACCGACTTCTGCAAGATGGATTGTCCGAAAAAGCAAGATGTTGTCACCGGATAAACAGTACTATCGATAACAGCCGTCCTGTATAAAAGAGCATCGTCGAGTGAGTATGTCCCATTTGAGAAATGCTCCACTGAGGAAAATCCGGCTCGATGTGCGACGAAGACGCCACCTTGAGTACACGAACAACTGGGTACCATCGACTCGGATCATCGGCTCTGGTGAAGACGAAAAAGTCGAAACGTTGGCCGAATAAAGATTGCATATCAGTCTCATGTATGCTTATCAAAGAAAGAGCACATAATCTTAACCCTTTTATTTACTGCCTTTTTCTTTTCAATGGCAGGGTATGTTGCGAAATATAACTCGTATATAATGGTGAGATATTTGCAAAACTCCTGACCGCAGGTGTATGCGGTGGGGAACGAACGCGCGCTATTGTCCTTACCGGGGAGTAGCGCACTTCACCACCACACCATCCGGGTCCTTCGTTTTGTCTGTCTCTTAGTTAGTTCTATCGATCGACCTGTGGTCCGGTGTTTTGCAAATATCTCAGCATTATATACGAGTTATATTTCGCAACATACCCTGCCATTAAATGTGATTATAACTAAGCCTCAGCTTAACTGGGTTCAATCCTTTGGGCTCCCCAAATCAAGCCCGTTGACGAGTGATTGCTGATGGCAAAAGATCGATAGAAATGGCTGAGAGACAGGCAAAACGAATGACCCGGATGGTGTGGTGGTGAAGTGCGCTACTCCCCGGTAAGGACAATAGCGCGCGTTCGTTCCCCACCGCATACACCTGCGGTCAGGAGTTTTGCAAATATCTCAGCATTATATAAAGAGCACATATTTTTGAGGCTTCAACGGCATGGATGGTTTCAGGGGTTTAAGTACATCGAACTTCAGAGGGAGAAATTTTATATGAAATGAGGTTATGTACAACAATAGTAGAATGGAGAAGAGTCGGTGGTGGTGGTAAAACATCTTTCTTCATTAGGGTTGTTCGCTAGATATTTTCTACGTGACCCACATCATACATTGTGCAGGTGCCGCGACTTTATTCGAGTCGTCCCTCAGATCCGTCATTAACGAACGTTTTCGAAGTTTTCTACGTGCGCGTTTGCCTGCTGCTTGAAGATATTCGCCTTTTCCATGGATGTCCTTAAATGATGGGCAAATAGATTTTCCGTAAAATTCTGGGATAATTGTGCTTGGATGTTCCCACTTGAATTAGTTAGAACAAAGAAGCTGAACCCAGACATGTTTGATATCAATTTCTTGACCACAGAACGATAGAAGGCTTGGTATGCCTGGTGTGGAGTTGGACGAGCATTTCGCTTGTATTGATTGGCATCCCAGCCGTTGTGCTACACGCCCTATATGGCTGAAGGTTACGTTTGTGGATGCTCCGATGACGTTCGTTCTTCTCGGATCCTTTCCCACCTACTTAGAGTAGGTTTTTTCTCCTCGTGATTCTCCTGAAGAACCCTACTGCTGGTGTTTATCACCACGCACATGTGATGTGTTGATTTCGGATAGGCTTTCAGGTTTCTTTTCCTTCTGAGAAACTTCTTGGCAGTGTTGGCGACGTGATGAGAGTTTCAAGACGGAAAGAACTAGTGCGTACGAGGAAGTTTCCTGCTTACTAGCTTGTGCTGCTGTGCTGGATCTTGCCCTTCTTCTTTCCTGCGCAATGACTGAAGTTCATCTCCAGTTTGTTATTGAACTAAATCATCGCACAGAGGAGGCAGTGTTCGGAACCACTGCAGAACTGTGGTGCTCAGAAGATTCGAGTCCGCTGTCATCTGTGTGAGAGTGGATTTGACAGAATGAGGTTGATGAGTCGTGCCACTATACGGATCTCGTGGTGGTTATTTCCTTGTGGAAACGAGTTTCTGTGGTGGAAATCTGCTGTGAACAGGAAGCCAGCAGGACATTTTACAATTTTATTTCGCTCTCCGGCAATAAATTCCTGAAACTTACAGGGTTGATATTGAAACACTTCTCATTGGTCCTTCTGGGCTACGTTGGTTGTTGAGTAGCATAGGTGATACCGGTCTATTTTGGTGTGTTCAGATGGATAGACGAAGAAGGTAATGGAACAGAGTATGCGTGCTTGGGCAAGATATAAAATAGCTTTCGGGCACGGCTTACATCACCCAAATCTCACAAGTGTTACTTGGATACTTAGTTGGACTCCCCGTCCTCACAGGTTGTGGAGTGTCCCAGCACATTCTCCGCTTCTCGGAGTTCTGCTGGTTTAGCCATTGTGGTTTCCAGGAGTCCTGAGGTCAGCCTGGGCAAAGTCTGCCTGTCGTCACCACCACAGGCAGTCGCTGCTCTTGTGGATCAGAGGAAAACCTGCCACCATGCGATTAGTTTGATACTAGGACGGTGGTGAATCCTGGTATCGTCGGTTTACTCTTAGCTAGACTTTCTGATGGAAACGCTGGACCCCTTCTCAGCTTGGGAGACTCTGCCCGGGGGGATTTTGTATATTCCCGAAGTGTTGCTCCACGTAATTTTTGTTAAAAGACTGAAGAGGTGTTGTATTTGTAATCCAAAAAGCAGTGTTTAACTTCTTTTTATTGCCCAGGCAAAACTCGGGAACTTAGGCTTCTAATCCGCGATAACCCTTTCCAGGCACTAGAAGTTAAGCGTTGTGATTTCGACTGCAGCCTCCCTTCCAACGGTTTCCCGCCCCATCGTGGCTAGGTGTTCCGAGGTGTAATCTCAGAAGGAGTTCGTCGTTTCCATCAAGAAGTTCAGCTAGGAGTAAACCAATACCAGGATCCAGCACTATCTTGGTATTAAACTAGTCGCATGGTGGCAAATTTCGCTCTGATCCACAAGGGCGGCGACTGCCTGTGGTGGTGATGATTTGAGGCGGACATTGGCCAGGTTGTTCTCGGGAGAGATTATGCTGGAGCTTGCACAAGCCGTGAAGACGGGTCGTCCAAGTATCTAAGTGTTTAAACAACATGGAAACTTCTTATCGATGCAAAAATGTTTGTTGATAGCTTGTTTACCTTGGTTGACTTCAGCAAATGACGAAAGTTAAAAGGACTTCGAAGAAGAGCAAAGTTTTGGCAGACCTAAAGCAACAAATGGGAGACGATACCCAAATAAAGAAAGGTTCGATTTTAAAATTCAACAGTACTGCTCGAAAGAACCTTATCTTTTCTTGCTCACTGACGCAATCGCTCCATGCTGGTGTACGGTTTGAATGAATTCTTTTTCACTAAAAGCTTTTAGGCCGTCTAAAGATGGAATCAGATGCCAAACAGGAGTGCCGGCCGAAAAACATAAGAAAGAAGAGAAGCGGTATGACTTTATGGTTTAAAATTATGGCGAGGAGACGGTCAAATGGTTTTTTGGACTATGTTTGATTCAGTGGTTCCAAAAAAGGATACAGAAGCTGCAGAAGTAAGTGATACGTTTGCAGAGGTAAAAAGCGAGAACGATAGGGGTGATGCGATTGACGTTACTTCAGGTTCGTTCCATTTCGTAGTAAGAACGGTTTACTCAAACGAACTCGCTGTTCCCAAAATCGACTTTCTATTAACCACGTCATTGGATTATAAATCTGTTGTTCTCTGTTTTACAGCAATCACGAGGTTGTTATTCAGAACACGTTTACTTCCTCACAAATATAACACACACAACACAACGTTAGCTGACGTTTCGGCAGTATCGCCTTCTTCAGAACCCGGAAGGGTACACTAATATGTAATTTGCTAGGTCAAACGCTTCAACAACGCAAACAGAAAGATGAAAATCTGAACAATAGCTACACGATTACCGGCTTTTCGAATAACCCACTGTTTTTTAACTGCCTTCCACCAAGGAAGAACAG